GAGCCTCTCAAGTCAGGCTAAGGGGCCAGGCTGGGCAGGGCTGCCCGTGGTCTCCCAAGAATTCCTGGATCTAGTTCTAGCCTGACTCTCCCTATCCCTTGAAAATGAATGTCAGAAAGAAGAGAACAAACCCTTAAGGAGACAAACATTGTGCCAGGCACTTCTAAAATGATTACATGCACTTGTTATTAATTCTGTTTTATAAATGAGGACACTGATGAGGTCAAAATGTCCTTTCCATCTTGCTATATGAACATGAGAAAGGACTTGCTGTTGCATTAGAAAGGAAAACCAAAATGAAGGGCTGTTCCCCACTTTGAGTTTTGGGGACAGAAGTAAGAAAAGTGTAACTGGGGCCAAGGAAAGCTATGGAGCTGCTGTAGGCCAGGGACTGAGGGCTTCAGAGACAGGGAGAAGGTTGGCCTGCCTGCCCCTGTGTTCCAGGCATCACGCCCATGCTGCAGCTCATTCGCCACATCACCAAGAACCCCAAGGACAAGACCAAGATGTCCCTCATCTTTGCCAACCAGGTCAGTTCTGTTGAGTCAGCCCCAAGCTTGCAGGGGTGGGATGGAATGTTCGTTGAGCTGGGGCTCTGCTTTCATTCCTCCCCCACTGACTGAGCTCCTGCTGGTTGGGTGGGCCACTGGCAGCTGGAGGAGCCCAGTTCAGGCCTGCTCTTCGCTTACTTTTGTTTAACTCTTCTGTGTCTTCCCAGCCAAGGCTGAGTACTGAGCTTTCCTTTCTTCCTTAATACCTGTTTTTATGTTTTTCGAGTATAAAATCATAAATGCTCTCAGTGGAAATTTTGGAAAATACAAAGAATATACTAATTTTTTGTCTTTCTTTATACATGCTATATATTTGCAAATATATATCTATATAGTTTGGTTTTTTTTCACTCACCATTACCATTTTCTTCTCATGCTGTATAAAATTTTCACCCTAGTTTATATCAAGTTGCACTATAATTTGCTAGATCTTCTACATCCCGGTTATTTTGGGTTTTCAGTTATAAAATGATATGGTGATGAATAACTGTGCCTAGGCTTGATTCCTTTAGATTATTTTCTTAAACAGAATCCCAGAAGTGGAATTATTGGGACAAGAATTATGAAGTTTTAAGATTCAGGTCTTCTGTGATTCTCTGAGCCTGTGACACGTGTTTTTGGCCATGGCTCCCTTTTCCCTGAGTGAGGCTCCAGACTGTTTTCCTTTCCTTCAGATCTACAGTGCGGTTCTGCATTCCTTGCAGGAGATCCAGGGTCTGCACTGAGCTTGTTCTATCTGGCTTTGCCCTGCCTGGAGCTCAGCATGGGTTTAGGAGGTGGGGCTGGGAGCTCTGAGTGAAGCCACTCCAGCCAAGCCCAGTTGTCCTTCTAGCTGGAGGCAGTCACTGCAGCGCTGTGGGAATGTACATCCTCCCACCAAGTCCATCCACAAGACCAAGGGTTTGACCTGCAGGAGCAGCTTCACAACTCTTATTTGCCCTGATAGTCTACCGCACTCAGGCTGGGGTAGTGGGATGTGCTTACTGATGTATTCAATTTTGAGAACAACAGAATGTTCCTGGATGGGGTTTTCTAGTGTTGCTTCTTTTGTAGACAGAGCATGATATCTTGGTGAGAAAGGAGCTTGAAGAAATTGCCAAGACTCACTCAGACCAGTTCCACCTCTGGTACACCCTGGACACCCCTCCCGATGGTACGATCCCCATTGCCCTTCCCTATCACAGGTCAGCTCCAACCCCTGACCACCTCCAGGACTGGTCTCTGCTTTTTAGGACTTGGGGGTAGTGCCTTGGGCTCTGGCCTCAGATGGGAAATTCGAGAGTTTGAGGGAGAGAGGATTTGGGAGGACCTGCTTATAAGGACAATCAAGGGCAGGTGTCCAACGTCTCATGTTGCAGCAGCACTCCACACACTGCATTGAACATCAAGAGGGACACTGAGCCACCCTGAACACTCACCCCACACAGCCGTCACACAGATGGTATCTAATATGGGCGTTTACCCCTTCACCATTCACGCCTCTGCTTATGGCCACCGCATCCCCTCACCTGGACAGTTTTCACATGCTGAGTCCCCGACAGCTGCTGCAGCCCCAGCCAGCACCCCAGCAACCACTCCCACCCTGCACCCAGCTGTACCCGTACCGCCAGACCCAGTAGTTCCACAAACACCGCACAACTCCAGCACACTGTGTTGGTTCACACCACACCCTGGTACACCTCACTGTGAAGTTCTCCATCCTCATCAATGCTGACAACAGGCAGACACCAGTAGACCACAGGGTCCCAGCAGTGAGCCTGCAGGGGGCTGACACCCCCATATCCTCTACTTCTCAGGCTTTCCGTAGGGAACAGAAGTACAGAGACTTCTAAGCCTTTGTAGAGCAGCCGGGCCACCTCCTCCCTGGCCTGAGGGCAGGAACTCCACCTGGCACCCCATAGGTCTTTTCTGCCTCTGCTTCATTTCAGGCTGGAAGTACAGCTCGGGCTTTGTTACGGCCGACATGATCAAGGACCACCTCCCTCCTCCTGGGAAGTCCATTCTGATCCTGGTGTGTGGCCCACTGCCCCTGATCCAGACAGCCGCTCACCCTAACCTGGAGAAACTGGGTTACACCAAGGACATGATTTTTACCTACTAACACAGCCTGTGCTCTTAGCAGATTTACCGGGCCCCTTTTATCTGTTTCTATAATTTAGCTTCACCACGTTAAGCTGGGATGTTTTCACAAGTGCCTCGCCACGCACCCTTGGGCACACACTGCTTCTCTTTTGGACTCGGGCCTAAGGAGAAGGGCTCAAGGGGCTGGAGACAAAGTGGTTACTGAGGCCTCCCCGTTTGGAGGCTGAGAAGAGTTCCATTTCAGCATCTCACCCCGTGGTTTAGAGGAATAAACTTAAGTACAGAGCAGCCAGCCTATGAAGTGTGGGTCTGTGGGGAACCCGCTAGCCAGTCAGGAGGCCTTGACCTGCCCTGCACGGGAATTGGTTTCCACATGTCCAGGGGGCTTAGAACTGACAAAGCACCTGAGCGGAATTCCAAAAGAATCCAAGTGGGGTCACATCGACTCTCAATAATCTCTCTTGCGCCCTTCTCCCCAGAGTGGTCTGCTTTTAAGGTCAGGCCTACTAGAGGGCTCAGGCACCTTCCATGGATTCTCCTTCCTCTGTCGTGGGGGACCCTTGAAATGGGTGTGGTATTGAAGACACGACAAGACAATAAATCCACAGGGTAGCTGGGCTCCAGGAGTGCCTCCTAGACTCCCTGCACTTTGCACAGCAGACGGAGCATTCTCTAAATGCGAGGCTCCAGCCTGGCACTGGGGGCCACAGCAGGGGTGGTTACATACAGAAGCTTCCCAGTTTGCAAAGTTAGCTTCTAGAAGCTATGCTTTAAATCCTTTTTATCACTAAACCCCACTGAAGCAGGGGACCACTATCGCCATCTGCTGTTCATGGCCAGGAGGACATACTGCTGCTCTGTTACCTGGGAGTGGGTAGAGCTGCTTCTGCACAATGGCATCTAATCCTTGTAACAAGTCAGAGATTCTGTGAGGATTTTATTCTCCTCGTTGAGGAAACTGAGGCTCAGAGACTTAAGTGTCCCCAGGACTTTCAGCCAATAGGTGGCAGATCTGGCTTCAAACCTGGGTTGTTTTTAAGTTGTTCCTCTTTTCACAAAAAGTGAAATAGCAGCAATGTTGGAGCTTGGTGTCACTGGATCTCTTACTTGACAGGTGTATATGAGGGAGGGGAGGGGAGGAGCATGGCTCTAGACAGGTCTCTGAAGTACAGCTGTGTCTTGCCCGTGGGTGTCCACACACAGGGATGGTGTCACAAGGCCGGTCAGGGGGCAGGAGGGAGGGGCCGCTAGCCTTCATCCACCTACCTGTTCAGGGCATCCCCAGTTGATCTCCCATCCAGGGAAAGTGCTTTGCTGGGCACTTCATCGTAAGTAGGCTCCTGCCCTCGATGTCTTTCTAGGAAGCAAATCTGATCATGCTTGCCACCTGCTTTAAACCCTTCACCGCTTTCACTGCAGTCCCCAAGCCCCAGGCCTCGGACGGGTCCACAGCCTATTGGGAACCAGGCCGCATAGCAGGAGGTGAGCAGTGGGCAGGGTGTGAAGCTTCACTGTATTTACAGCTGCTCCCCATCGCTTGCCATGCCTCCACAAACCCCACCTCAATCCATGGAAAAATTGTCTTCCATGAAACTGGTCCCCAATGCCAAAATGGTTGGGGATCACTGCTCTAGTCCCCACCTGGCCACCCCATCTCCACGACATACATAATTCCAGGGCCTGGCTGACCTCATCAGCATCTGATTTCTCCTTCCCTCGACTCTGACCCCACTATCTAGCTCAAAGACTCGTCTAGTGAAGACTAAACAGTGGGCTCAGGAAGGGCTCAATGGCAAGGGCCTTGGGTGCTCACGTGTGATAATCCTGTGACTGAGGAGTTCTGAGCTGAAGTACAACAGGATAAAGCAGTGCTTAGGGGTAGAGAGTGTCTGGAGGGGACCCACTGGCGTCCAGCTGCTGGGATCAGTGAGAGATGAGGCCTGAACTGCAGCAGTCCCGGTGGGGAGGAGGGGGCTGGATGGGAAGGGCCCTGTGTCACTGGGGTTGGGGACAGAAAACAGGCTTGTTGGGGAAGATGGTGAGTTGCGGTGGAAACGTGTGTAGTTTGAGGTGCTCGAGAGCCTTCCACTGGGAGGAGCTGTTGGATCAGTCATTACATCTGAGGCCTTGGAGACTGCTGTCTCTTGAGTGAACGCCTCTGCTGGGACACCCACTGCACACAAGGGTGGTGGAGGCCCGCAGCCAGGGCAGTTGGGAGTGGTCCCCTCGCTCCTCCACTGCTCGCACCCTAAATGCTCCCTCCCGGCCAGATTCCTGTGAACGGAAAGACACGCTCCTGCGAAGCAGCCCTGAGGGACCTCCCCATTGTCGTTTCACCCAGCTCAGTCACTACAGAACACTCAAGACTTTTTTCCCAGAATCTTTTTTTCCAGCAGAAGTTTTATGAACTAACAGCTCTTCCTGTTTGGTGTAAGAGCCTCCAGGCTGTCCCCAGGAACGCATGAGCCATTGAGTCTGTGTGCTCACATCTCATTGTCCTTCCCACAAAAGTGGTCAGCAGTCCATGTATAAAAGTACAAAAAGTATAAAAGCTGCAGCGAAGAGCACAGCACGGTTGCAGACATATAGGGGCAGTAGGGCCACCTCCTGGACGTCTGTCCCACAGCTCTGCTGCGCTCCTGCCAGCACCCGGTGAGACACCCTGCCAGCCCCAACCAGGCTCTGCAGCTGGCTGCGTGCCTGCTCCCCACTGAAGCAAAGGCTCGGGGCCCCCACACGTGCCTCTCTGGGCTGTCAGCCACGAAGAAACTCATCTCCAGCCATCAGCGTTGGGAGCAGCCAGGCGAGAGTCATTCAGCAGCTGGTCCTGGCTCAGCATGGTCTGAAAGGACACAGCCGAAGGGGCACTTAGACGGGGTTGTGGCAGCCACATGGGAAGTAGGGGGGCACGGAGTGTGGTCTATGGCTGATGCCAGTGCTCTGTAAGTTTATGGTGTCTCAGGGACCCTGGGTAGTGGGTCAGAATAAACACTATCATTAAGATAAAAATAAATGGCTTGTCTTGGAGGTAAAGTTGCTATGTCAAGGCCACCGAAAGTCTAGTAGAGATCTGAAGGGCAAGGTTGGACAGGTCCCTTTCAGTGTTGGAGCCAAGAAATAAAGTTGAACAAAAGTGATCCTGCTTGGATTCAAGTAGACTCTTCCCCTCTTTTCCTTAGACACAGGGAGACTCTCCCATCCTTGTCCTGTCTTCTAATCATGGCTCAGAAGATCAGCAAGTGAAGTACAGTGACGGGGCCTCAATGTGGACAGGCACTACAGCCCACGGGCTCAGTGACGTGATGCTTGGGAACTAAAGGGCCCTGGGAGTTACAGGCCTCAAAATCAAATCTGTGCTCTGTGGCTAGCTTTATACTGCCAGCTCTTGTCTGCCTAAAAGCCTGGCAAGGAGGATACGATCAGCCCTGTTTACAGATAACGAAGCCAAGACTCAGAGAGAGGATGACACACCCAAGGTCCCAGAGCTGGCAAAGGCAGAGCAGGGACTCGAGCCTCCTCCTTTTTCCCGAGACCAAGCTGCCTCCCCACGATACGGTCTGTCCCCTTGGGCATGCCAGGATGTGCTCGCATGCCTGTGGTATCCACCAAGTCAGGGCGTGATGGGAAATGCATGTGTCTCTTGGGCTGAGAGAGGGCAGAACCCTGTCCATTAGGCCAGAGATGTGGCCTGGGCTTTGGGTTGACTAGATAGGTGACCTGGAGCTGCTGAGCACCTCAGTCTCCTTGCCAGCTCTAAGACAGGGGAGAGGACCTGAGACCCAGCATGCTTTAGCTGACTCCAGCCAAAGGCCCTGAGCCTTCTTGATGCCCTGAAGGCCCAGCAACAGGCCAATGGAGAAGGCCCCTGGGATGCTTTCTGCCTCAGGCTCCGGGCTCTGACCCCAGCACAAACACCTCAGGCCCTGTGCCCCACCACAGCAACTCACATGGCCTCTCCAGCACCAGCCCTACTGCGGGGAGAGAGTCAGAGTCCTACCGTAAGGCGGTGGATGTCTTGGGAGAGGAGCCCTATCTGCGTCACCGTGCCTTCTGAAGGTGCCATCTGTAAAATGGGCAGCAGCCTGGTCAGCACACGGTGCAGCCTGCGACTTGCAGAGATGGCATGCAAGTCCTGTCCTGCTTGGGCCTGGCTTCTCCGGAGCACGCTGGAGGGATGGGCAAGGAGTGGGCCAGGCCCTGAGGAGTGACAGGTGGGTGGAGCGCATGCTGCTGCTGTTCCTGGGGAAAGGCGTCACTATCCCACACCACATGCACGTCCCTCCGGGGACCCCACCCGGCACCAGCACTCAGGGTGCACAGAGCTAGGGCCATCAGAAGTAGCTGTTCTGCACTTGTTCAGTGTTCTAGCTACTTCCAGGAGCAGAGAGCAGCAGGAATGATTGCCTTCAGGATGCTGAACAGACTGACAATTTCCAGGAACCAACAGGAGCCCAGACATGACTGCCCTGGTACAGGTGGGTGTCTTCAGGAAGCTGCTGATGGAGCTTCCTCACTGCCTGGGAGCCTGCCTCCCCTCCCCAGGTAATGCCGGCCTGCTGCTGCTTCCCTAAACCTGTTTAGACACGGCAGATTTGGAAGGGCGTCAAGTGTAACCCCTCGCTTTACAGGAGGGAAAACTGAGGCCCACAAAGGGAATGGGACTTTCTTGAGGCCGCACAGGGAATTAGTGGCAAAACAATTCCATGCAGGGTTCGGAAACAGGTGCATGCAGAGATTCTCTCACCAGGACACAAGTAAGGGACAAAGCCTGCCCTGACTGGCTCTCCACAGCTGCACTGGCCAGGCATCGGCCTGAATGATCACCTGTCAGCCGGCGGCCCTGGCGCTGGGATCAAACACCAGCACTGCCAGCCGCAAGCTGTGCCCACATCTCTCAGCTCAGAGGAGGTGGTGGCTGGAGGCAGCCAGTGGTTTAAGAAGCAAATCTTACACCGCCTCCATCTGGGACAGAATCGCAGTGCCACTCTGGGAACATCGGGCCCTGCCCTGGCTGTCAGATAGTTACGACACGGCTGTTATTCTTCTGTAGATGAGGCCCAGGGGACGCAGCGGAGCCAAAAGCTGCACTGGGGTGAACTGGAGTCTCATGAGCCGGAGCCCAGACTGGCAGGCACGTCCCAACCTCGGTCCCCGGCCAGACAGGGCCCATCTGGAGGACCCATTATCAGCGAGTCAGCCTCTAAATCAAGAGGACTGATCTGTTCCAGCTCTGCCAGCACAGACAGACCAAACACCCTCCCGCGCCCACCCCACAGTCACGAGCCAGGGGAAGCCAGTGACGTGAGGGAGAAGCTGATAAACACATGAAAGAGCAGAGTCTTTCCAGCAGGGCTGCCCTTCTCAGCTCCCTTCCCCCGCATTAGGTGGCTCGTGCTTCTGAAATGGAAACCAACTTTGGGGTCTGCATGACAGATGCGACCTACAGTCAGGATGTGTGTGACAGAGAGAGGTGGAGCCTGCAGCAGTGAGGCCACAGGCCTCCTCTGAAGGATATGGGGGCGGGGTCCCTCCTTGTTCTGTCCTCCACCTGAATCCCGAGTGTGCACCTGTCCGAGGCCACCTCAGTGCCACTGGCTCTTAAGCTACACAATGAGTAGGACTTGATCTCCAGCTACGTCCAGCTCTCTTCCTCCAACAAGATTAAGTATATGTTGCACTGTTGGCTTTGTACATAAATATCGTTTTTATTACAAGCAGCAGCCACCTCTGTAGTAAGGCATGACACAATTCTATTGTCACTGTGACACAAGTCCCAGCTGCCTTCCCCCACTGATCTCAGCTAAGACTGTGGCCCACAGGCCTAAGGCACTTGAGCTTTTCCCTCAGCTGAAGCACAGGGACATGTTGAGAGCTGAGCCTCTTGGCAGTGACCAGGTTCTCTGGACCTGGGTCCACGTTCACGTGTTTCCACTGGTGCTGAAGATGGACATCGAGAATAACTAAAAACGTAAAAGTGTCTTTAATTGTCTTTCCTCCTGCGCCCACCTTTGGCAATAGTCCCCAAAGCCTGGCCCCTTGGCAGAGGTGTAGCTCCATTTCTTGGCCACCTTCAGGGTTTGAAGAGAGACTAGCCCAGGAGTCCATAATTGCTGGAATGTTCTCTGTGAGTCATGCACACGTGCAGGGGGTGAGGTGCAGTTATGCGGTGACACACGGTGTTACTATGAGTGCTCAGCGTGCACAGAGAGGGCAGGTGACAAGGGCGTCAGCTAATCTGTCCCACCTGGTCCAGCCCATCCAGTTCAGGAACATCAAGGGGGCTGAGGCCCCGGTAACCACTGTAGACCTTGTGACTGTCGCTGATGCCATCACTGGGCTCCATCGGGCAAATGTAGTCTGTCGATTCATCGAATTTCTTTTTTCTTATGTTTCCAAAATGTGAAAATCCTAGCTTCCTTGGCTAAAACATAGCAAATGGAAGATTATGAGAAGATTATCAAGCCAGTGTGCAGATATGACTGACAATATATTTCAGAGCAGGCTCATGAGGAAAAGAATAAGGCAAACTGCTTCTAGAAAAAACTCTGCACAAAAGAGAGGTGTAAGCAATTTCTACATGGGAGAAGAGGCCAACAGATAAGTAAGCTGCCCCTCCAAGACTCTGTGCCTGAAACTCATGCCTGGCTCTGCCCCACCAGTGACTTTCATCCTTCCAGGGATGACTGGGAGCTCCTACAGGATGCTGCAGTTTGCACTTGAGGCCGGGCATGGAGAACTCACTGCCCCACAGCTGCTGGCACCACGTGGAAAGTGCCGCTCAGCACCCAGTGCCCTCAAAAGGCACACTGCACAAGCTTCGCCCAGCGCTGTCTCTGCTCGACCCCCCGAGACACACTTCCCATCCTGCTCCCTTGGGGAAGGGGGTTCTAGCTAGGCCTGAGGCATCGACATGCTGCTAGGGACAGAGCCGGCCTGGCCTCCAGAGAGTGTCTGTGGACCTGCGGTCTGGCAAGGATGGGGGCTGAGGAAGTGTGGCTCAGGCAGGTCTAACGGGCTTTGTGGGATTCAGGGAGCCCTAGTGAGCCATGCTGGTGCTTGGATGACCTCAGGACCTCTGGACAGCTGCGTGCTGGCCACCTTACGGAACAAGACACATGGGACCCGCTGCCAATAGGAGCACTTCCTGTGTCATCAGGGCAGCTTTAGCCAAGACCCCTGGTGCTGTGGCATGCACACGGGCATGAGTGAAGGGAGCCCAGCTCGGAGTCCTCTGCCCTGCAAGCTGAGTCACAGCAGGGTGGGCGTAAAGGAGGAGCTCCCGGCTGCCTGAGAGTAGGTGCTTCCTGTACCTACTGTGTACAGAACACACACAGTTCTGTTCCTGCCCCTTCTGTGTAAAGAAGCCTGCACTCTCTTCCTTAGACTCAAGATGGGCAGGGACTGGCCTAGCAAAGACTCGTAGGCAACGAGACCGCAGCAGAAGCTGAAGAGCCCCTGCACCCGGGCTACCCACCTACTCACGCTGCTTTGGCTGCAGGCACTGAGCCCACGCCCGCCCAGGAAGGGTCTGGCAACTCACCCGCACTTTGGCCGTGGTGGTCAGTGGTGTGTAAGCTGGAGAGGCCATTTTATCTCGCTTTTCCTGTTCCGCCTCAGGACCAATCAGGGCATTGAATTTGGTGGTCAGGTGGCGTCTGAGGAGTGTTTTTTGTGGTGGGATATTAAGAAGCATAGCCAGGGTGTCCCCAGTGAAACGCGGCTCCAGGATCTAAAAAGAAACCACAGACAAACCTAGCTAGGAATGACCACAAACGACTCCAGGTGTGCGGTACTGAGAAATCGGTCACTGGGCCTAGGGGAGCCCCAGGGCAGGGGCTGAAACCCATCCACTTGCCCTGTGTCTCACTCCTCTCTCTGAGCAGACACTAACTAGTGCATTTGTCCACTGAGCCCCTCATCTGCATAGACCAGCAGAGAACTGGAAACTCTTTGCTAAGGCTGTCTCTCTCAGAGCCTCCTCTGGACAATATCCAAGCCACCCCCCTCCTCATTTCCCCTGTGGCTTTGCCACTTGACAGATCTGAGTAGTGACAAAGATCACATCGTACTAAGCAGGAAGTCACTTTCTGACAGCCTCCCCCTCATTCCCCCAGCCCCCATGTTCCTGTGGGAACAGGTGGAGCTGCCTTGGTAAGAGCTGGTCCTCATGCAATTCCGTTGACCTGGAATTCTCTGGGTCTGTTGCCAAGGAAGTCCTTCCAGAGGTTACCTTAATTCCATGAGGTATATTAATTCTCAACCACAAATCACCAAAATACTTTCTTTGAGAATTCAAATTATGCAGAGGGTTCAGGTAAAGTATCTATTTTTTCACTAGAATTTATGTCTGGCCTTTAAGAAACAGTTTCTGAATACCCCAGTTTATACCAAAGCAGCTGGGCTAGGCCGAAGAGCCACTCACAATGAGACCTCCGTGTACTCCACTCCCTCGGAGGTTGGGAGCGTACTCCGCCAAGTCTACCGACCGCAGCCACTCCATCACCCTGTGGTTGGACCATTGCACAACTTCTGAAGGAGAAAGGTTACTCTGTGAGACAGAAGAGAAGAAAGAAGTTAGGCTTACTAGGTCCCACCATGGTCCTATGTAGAGTTAGCTCCTGTGGGTCTGGCATCTGGGGCAGGCTTGAGAAGACCCTCAAGCTTAGTGACCCAGACCAGCCAGACCACCTGCCTGAGAGCCTTCCCAGTTTCTAAGAAATGGAGCTCTCACTGAATCTAGCAGGATCTTCTATGCTAAGATATCTGAATCCAGAATCCTGTCATTCCCTAATCTTTTGGTTAACTTTGGGACGAATAAATGAAGACATACAGTTCTTCATTCCATGATTTAACAGAACTTTAAAGATGACTGTCAATTGTAAGCTGAGTGTTTTATAGACAAAAGATCTCTCTGGTGTGGCCAAACGTTTTAGGAGAGTGCACATTAAGATGCTTACACCTAAGTGCCCTCACATGGCATCATGGTCTTCAAAATGCCCAGCACTGTGCCTGACATACAAGTCATTCAAAATATGTTTGTTGAACAGGGAGAAAACAGGAGATGGAGGGCGAAGGTAAAAATGTTCTTAATTCTTCAGTAAGCTGGGTTAATCTTGCAGCAGAGTTACACTCAGTTCCCAGGAACAGAGGTGACAAGATGTGATTAACACCCCTTCAGCTTCGGGGCCCACCATGAACAACAGGTTCATGGAACATCAAGAAGCATTTCACCGTGATTTGGGGTGCTGGTATTTACCTATACCATTTCTTCTCTAGCAAGACCTGCTCACAGATCTCCTGTGTACCTGGGCCTGGAGGTCAGTTAATTTGATATCTACAATTAGGGAAACCTATTCTGAAATGTTTGGTTCCTTAAGGGCTCTCCCTCCCTCCTCCGCCTCTGGCTCATCTCCTCTCCTCTGTCTACTGGACACACGTCTTTCCATTTTGTCTGTGCTTTCTCTCTCCTTTGTACCATCCTCTCATCTCCTTTAATCACATGATGACTTTGAAAGACTCGTTGCCACTGCCCCCTGGTCTACAGCATGTGTCTCCCCAAGGGAGAGTAGGAGCTTGGAAGTCTATGGCTATTGTGAGACACAAAGTACAGGTAACAGGTGTTTGGGCAACATCAAGGTCAAGCAAAGGAAAGAATCCCAAGCACTGAGATCTGAAAGGCAGCCATCTGTGATGACGACATTCTTGTATTCTCACACTCAAGGTTTCAGGTGTCCTGTCTCTGTGCTACCTGGAGAGATACTATCCCTCCCCTCACCTCATCAGCTGGCCGCCTGTGCAGGCAGTGGGGGTTGAACTTGTTGACATGCAGCACGTGAATGGCACATTTGATGCTGAGATGATGTAGTTGGCTGGTGACTTTTAAGAAGAGTAGATCATTCTGGAAGAAGAAAGTTTTGGTTGATGAGTCAGAGATTCCAAAGTCACAAAAGACCTCTGATATCCCTTCCCAGACCAAACACAGACAGATCTACTGCACCCTCAGGAAGGTGCACATGGATACACCGACAACTTCTCCTATCACAGTGGTTTGTACTCTGCTACTTGGGACCTCTTATGTGACCAACAATACTATTTCATGACCTTAAGAATATGAGGGAAGAGGCGAAATCAAGTTTAAAATAACCACCATGGGTACACCTGAGCTGAGTGATGATAGGGACAACTGAAATATTTAAAGGAAAAGTCCTCACCACAGTTAAGTATTGCAGCATTCGTCCATCAACTCTGGATTCATGAAACTGGTCTTTGTATTGGGGTAAGCCAATATCATCAAGCCACCCTACCAATAAAGAAAAAACAGACGTGTCAAGATTCATGAGAGTGGGAAAATGGGAGAATGTAGATGCAAAACCAGTTTCATACCCCAAAGGATTTAGTAACTCCTCTGCCTTGCCTTTTACAAGGAGACAGGTGTCTTTGAGGCACACATTTAACAGGAAGATTCTTTCTACCCTTCATTACTGCCAGAAACATACTCAATCCATATATGCCTGTTCTTACGTGTCACCCAAATGTGGTCTAGCAGTGCAGACTTCTCCTCCTGCTTGGCGTTGATGGCTTTCACTGCTAAAACCAGCTTCTTCCTGTGAAGAGGGTGCTTAATTCCTAGCTCCTGAAATTAAAAGATGAAGACCAGATGTGAAATTTTGGCAGGCGAATTGGCCCTCAGAGGACATGGCGTCTGGGTGGAGATGCTCTGAGTGTGGCAATGGATGGATCTCTGCCCAGGGCCCCAGGATGTCCCGCAGCTACAGAGCGGATCTCAGCCCCCTCTGTCCATCCTCCTGTGTGTGCAGGAGGCATGGGGGGCCCTGGCCTCCCCAAGCTCAGCCCTTACCTTTTCCATGTCCTGAGGGGTAGCTGTCAATAATGTGTGGCCAGAAGACACCCACTGCCTGGCGAAGATCACGTACTGAGCCAGGCCAAAGTCCTCCAGCCACGCACACACACGCTCGGTGCTCCACTGGGCAAAGGGGGCGTTGGCGTCACTGGGAAGCAGGAGAACAGCATGTTTCTGTTAGAGGAGGGCCTGAGGTTCTGAGTTTAATCGCTTCTCACAAAGAAGGAACTTTTTTCATTTTGTTAGAGATGGGGGTCTCACTATGTTTCCCAGGCTAAGCTCCAACTCTTGGGCTCAAGGATCCTCCCACCTCAGCCTCCAGGGTAGCTGGGAGTACCAGCATGCACCACCACACCTGGCTCAGGAACTGTCTTAAAAATAAGCAACCTCAATCATGGGATTTAGTTGAACCAAATTCCACTACCTTAGACTCATTTGATGTAGACTTGGGAGTTTCCTTGATAACACACAGTCTGAATTTCAAATCTCCAGCTACTTAGAACTTGGGGTAGCTGGTGTGATCTTCTTGAGACCATGTATGCATGTCATAGGTCCATATACACACATGTACATGCCATAAGCCCAGAACTGTAGCCACATTAGGATGACAACCCACAAATGATTCATTTTTTTCAATAAGATTCAACACTCTAATTTTTAGAAAAATGCTTAGAAAACTAGGAAAAGAGGGTCAGCTCTGTAACCTTAAAAGAAAAAAAAATAAACAAAAAACCAAAACACCCAAATGCCTCCTATCAACAACAGCTATACCTTATTTATTAATGAAACACTAGGGATATTCACATTCAAGCCAATAAAAAGACTATATGTTTTTATCAGTATTAATAACACTGGTCTGCAAGTTGCAGCCAGTATAAGGAGAGATTAAATAAGAGCAAGAACACAGTCATTAGAAAGGTAGAAGTAAAGGAAGTCAATTTTTTTTCAGATGGTCAGACTGCACACCTAGAAAACCCAGGAAAGCTCAGTAAGGTGGCTACTTATAAAATACACACACATACATACATACGGAATCTGTATGTTACCTAAAAAAATCAACAATTTTCTAAGTACCATCAATGTACAGATACTAATGCTTTTGTTAGAACAATTAAAAAAATCCCACTCACAGCAGCTGGAATTATAAAAGGTATAGGAATTGCTTTGACCAGGGATGTGTGGGCCTGTGTGACTGCGTGTGGGGACTAGGGGGTGGGGAAGGGGTGACTACAGCACTCAACGGAGCAAGATAAAAAAAAAAAAGACATGAATAATAAATGAAGAGCTAGATCATGTTCCCAGGCAGTATGACTGGGATTTATAAAGACATCAATTCTTAAAGACATCAATTTTTCATTTAAAGTGTGAATATAATGGCACATTAAAAATCCCAATAGAGTCTTTAGGGAGGGGAGATTCGACTGAACAACTTTATATTCATTTTTAAAAACAAATGAAGATTTATAGAATGTAGAAGACTAGATAGTTATAAAGATTCCTTCCAGGAAATTACCCCTAAATACACTGGACTTAAAAAAATTTATTTTAAATGCCTGGTGGAGCTTAAAGTGAGGGAATTCCTTAATGTACCAGAATGACAAGGAAGTGCCATTCTAGAACAAATGTTAGATATGATATGTACTGTGGGGTAGGTATTGATCACTCATAGCATGGGTTTTAATAGGTCCTGAATAGGTACAGATCCAGGTTTTATGAGGCCTGGAATTTACAAAATTTGGGATGTGCCCTTTAAGAAAATTACAAAATTAGAATATAGAATTAAAAACTGAGTATTTATTTAGAATGAGAAAACAAATGGCAAGAAATTAAAAATTTAGCCAAAAGAAAAAACATCACAAAATCCACAAAATTTAATATTTTTGTTAATTAATGACTAGATATACCTCTATAGTACTTTACCCTCACATTTTGGTGTACTTTATAGTACTTTACCCTCATATTTTTTTGATTGCTTCTCCATATGGCCACAACTCTATAATATTTGAGTCAGTCTTCTGGCATGACTGATCAATATTTTTTATGATAATAATTAAAAAATAATTTTCAGTTTCACCATTTATAATTGGTATTGTCAGATGCATTCTTAGAATCATTTAATTTAAATTTAGAAAAACCTATCAAGTGTCTTTTATATGTGAGTGGTAAAACCACATAGCATTCAAGTATCTAATGCTGTGGCTAATCTTAAACATTTTATGAACTGACTATTCATTAACCAGTGTGTTATTTATGTCCTTGTGGTGGTAGCATGAGTTTTACATTATCTTTGTTGATGTCAGTATATCACGGAAAATCAGCCAGAAATTTCACTATTTTTCCAATGTGTTCATATGATTCACTTGATATGATCAACAATCTAGGACCCTAGTCACTACTTCTGTTTGGAATTTATCTCCTACTCTTAGCAAATTGCTACTTTTGGTATGATCTGGAGGGTTTTTTTGTTTATAATTGGTTTCTTAATGTGGGAATAATTTCTCTCAATTTCAATGCTCACTTTACCACTTTTGTTTTACATTCTATTAGGTTTTTATTTCATTCATTTCCTTGCTTCTGGAAATTAGGGGAAAAAACAAACATTCTGTATATCAGAGGGACATTTTCAGTTCTAAAAGAGAAATAATTGTTTTTGAGATCATAATGTGAAAACCTCTGTCCTGTACCCCTTTGCAAAACAACCTAGAGCTCTGGTCCTTATCTTCAGCTGTCTCCCCACTCTTTGTTCTGTGGATTCTCTCCTCCCTCCTAACTCGTGCTGTCCCACAGCATCAGCCTGGCTTGCACCTCTTCAGCCTCTTTCAGTGCCAGGGTCTCCCCGCAGCCAGGGCCATGGCAAACACGCTAGGAAATAATTTAGAGATGACAGAGATGGTACCTTTCACATAACAACCAAACCATTTATTTCACTGACATGTCCCGAAACATCTTTCCAAAATTGCAGTTAAAATTATGTATCTGAGATTTATCAAATATGCCATTCCCACGGTGGGGGAGTACACATGGCCCATTTATAACTGTATTCACTTCACTAGTGAGTACACAGTTCTGGGCACACTGGCCCAGTGGAAAGCAGAAGTAATCCTGGAAGCCATTAGCACACTAGGACAGCTAGTTAAGCCTGACTAAACTAAACATGAAGTGACCGCAAACCACACACATAGTCCATTAAACCCAAATTACATGGATCCCCAACTCAAATTGCCATAGCCAGTCCCCGAAAACCCCACAGCTACTCCAAGATCATCTGATATAAGGAAAAGTATAGACCAAGGGAAGGCTGGAGTAAAGAGTTAGCAGTTTTAAAACTGGTTGTGTTTAAAATATCTTATTTATGCAAAATTTCTAAAACAGTTGTCTCCATCAACACATTGACTGGGTCCCACACAAATAAGGTCCCTCGAAGCTTAAGCTTCCTTACGTTTGTGATAAATCTGTCTCTGACCATGAATGTGGGGAACAGGTAATAAAATGGGGCCTGAGACAGGGAAGCAGTCTGAGTGGAGACCCCTTATAAACCCCGAGTCCCAAAGAGAAATACACTTAGTGGATTGACTCAGTTAAATCCTCCACAAAGATGGGACCCAGCTATGGCTCTAGAATCTGCTTGCCTTAAACATGACACTTTACTGCTGCCTTTTCCCTTAAAAACAAAACAAAAACCAAACCAAAACAAAAAAACTCATAATAAACTCACATACTAAATAAAATAAAACCCCAAATACATTATTCAAACATGGTTTTAAAAAGTCATGGAAAAATTTAAAATAAAGAAATTACAAAGGAAAAGTTGATAAACTTCATTATACATAAACATAACAACTCCATATATCAAAATATCATAAACAAAAGTGAAATTCTGCCACAAACTTAAAAATACTTTTTCCCAATTATTAGACATGGCTTTATGCCTTAACATACAGAGAACTGGTAGAAATCTATAAGAAAGTCATTAATAATTAAATAAAAATGGGCAAAAAATGCAGATCATTAACAAAAGAATTAAAATGAAAACCAAAAAAACTAAATTACCAATAAAAGTATAATTTTTGGAAATCTATAAAAGTAGAGAAATTTAAACAAAGAAAAATTTAAATACTTAGTGCTGACAAGGATGTGGTATATAATAGGTACTCTCTGTACAGCAGTGCTGATTGGAATGCAAAACAGTGAAACCTTTCTTGGAAGAAAAAAGACAAAATGTGTTCTTCCACAATCTAAATGTTATCAAACATTATATTTAAAAAAAACAATTGTTTCATTGGGAAAAAAAATAATTGGGGCTGGAGGCTTTCAGTAACAAAGTGCTTTTCCTACAAGAATATTAATGACAACAATTTTTTTTAAGGCTACACCTAAATATCTATAAACACCAGAAGACATTAGCATATAATTATATCAAATTTCTGCTTAAGAGTAATAAAGGTGTTTTTTTCCCCACCAGAAAATTCATTACCACAGGCACTGTTATGCTAAACATAACCATTGGATCTCTTCATTTCTATTCTCTTTATCATCCACTGTTATGGTTAACAAAGCACAAAACATTCAAACAAAGCAGCCCTATGGCTGAATTGCAGCTTTTTCCTTTGGCAAAGAAAGTTTCTGACACTGGTTATCCCATCCCTTAAAGTGACTGGGCAATGCAAAGGGCTTCCTAACACTGCAGTCCTGCGCTAGGAGCAATGCCTAAGGATCCTAGATCTTACACCCTGATCCAGTGATTTTCCTTCTAGAATCAATCTTTAAAGAAACAGCCAGAATTAGAACAAAGATGACTCATTCAAGCTTACTATAACTTTATTTCTTCAAGCTCAGAAAAAAAGAAATCAGAAACAACAGTAATGTCTAAATTAAGCAAATTGCTAAGTAAATTCAATGATCTAATTATGAGACATGTAGGTAAGCTTTCTTTGGCTCATTTTCTAACTGCTCTTAATTCGTTGCTAACTTCTCAGACCACATCCTTTGATTCTCCGGCCTTTAAAAGCTAGAGGTCCTCAGGTTTCCTTCCAAGGCACCTGAAGTAAAATACGGGTCTGGGGATACCCATCCGAGTGTAAGTGGATCTGGAGAGGTCCTGTGTCTCCCACACCAGGAGGACCTGGCAATGTGGAAACCTGAGGTTGGCAAGTGAGAGAAGGCAAGTATCACATCCACAAGAAAATAAGCTAAGATTCCCTTCCACAGCGGATGCAGGTCTGTGAGCAATATGATGCATTTAGGGAAATCCTCTTCTCCTTTAATTGGAATCTAGACTGTATTATTTCTAAGAACTAATATTTGAGTTGCACCCTTCTTATTCAGTAATTACCTCTACTTTGCGCCACTGTACGGCAGTCTCAAGGGATCTAAACTTAACAGAGTAAAACTGTACTTTTCACCTTTTGGTTAGATTTCAAATGTCACGATCCACTTCTGGGGAAGGCCCCCAGCAGCTCTGACCTTGGCTGAGTAACTCAGACCTTGGGAGAGGTTCTGCTGGAGACGACGTATGGTAGAGGCTGCCTCATGGACAGAGGATATAGAAAGGGGTCTCCCCTGGACACAGGAGAAAAAAGTCACCAGTGCTGGTTTGAAGGGAGACACTCTTTCTCAGAGCAGGGAAACCAAAGGAAAGAGGATAAAGCTAATTACTGGAGGGTGTCCACCAGGGACACCTCTGGAGAAGTTTAATGGTTTTTATTTTTCATTAAGGTGTTTTTTTTTTTTTTCATTAAGGTGCACTGGGAACAGCCATGTGAGACTTCCCATTTTGATTCTAGCATCCTCCCTTTAGTTAATGCCCTTCATTAAAGTTTGGTACAATGGGATTATGGCAGATGTGGCCGACTTCACCAGCACCCTTCTGCAGAGTCTGTGTAGAAGGTGGGGTCTGACCTGGAAGCAGGTATGAGACGATGCTCTCCTTCCCAAATATACTAGTGGTTATCGACCCTTGAATGGCAGACAGCTGAGGCAGTAGCTCCTGTAATGCTCATAAGAACTTTAATAAAATACCTGTTTCTGACCTCCACTTTACAAATGAGGAAACAGGCACAGAGAGGTTATACAACTTGGCTTGGGGCTCACGGCTAGGCAGTGGTAAAGCAGAGATTTCAACCCAGGTCTGAGATTCTAGAACCTCTTAATGGCTGCATGAGGGCTTCTCAATCCAGTGTGGAAAGTCACTGCTGAGAACGGGTTATGGGTGTGCAGAGCTGTTGAGGTGCTCAGGGAGGTGGGCACGAGCCGCCTCCCGCTGCAGGAGCCTCTTGCCTTCACCTCAGCGTACCTGTAAGCACAAGCGATGTCTATGTGTGTCAAACAGGCAAGTTGAGAAGCTGTGCACTGAGGAAGGGACCCTGCCTTCCACCTCCAGAGGCTCTGACACAACCAGCACCCCTCTAACTCCTCCGTGGCCAGGATTTCACAAGCAGTCTGTAGATGGCCTGGTGAGGGAACCTTACCTTTTCTGTCCTTTGGAGTCTCTGGTTCTAGACAGTCTTGGCCCTGCGGTTGCCCGGAGCCCACCTCGTCGAAACTCTGCCATCCCTGGCACATCAGTGTTGAAGTTTCCTGACTGAGTTCTTCGGATTCTGCATGGAGAGGAATCCACTATCAGAGGACAGTCTGAAAGCCTGGAGCCAGCACCCTGCTCCTTTGGCAAGGCCGTGCAGGCCAGCCCCGGGACTCCAGGTGGCACCGACTCCCAGTACCTCCCTGGAGATCCAGGATTACAACCTGTGACAGTTCTCAGCCAGACTCAGGACTCAATTCTGCTCCTGCCTCTGGGGTTTGGGCCATATCCCATGGGGGTCAGAGTGATACTGGATGAGTGTAAGCTGCAGGGCACATGCTCAGAGGGCGTGGGATAGGTGGATGTTTAGAATGAATGACACATACGGCAACTGGCTATATTTAATGGGTGTCTTTCACTCTTCCCCTGCTCTCAGCCCTGAAAAATAACTCCAATTGTTCTTTCTAAACATGACTGTCCAGCTTTTACCGCTGTTTCAACGTCTAATGGACCAGGGGCTCACGTAGACTCTTCGACCAGTCAAGCAGAAAATTGATTCCAAGCAATATGACCATGATCATCACCACCAACTTACTTTCCCCAAAACTTCTTGATGCCTTTGGGACTCCGTTTACCATCTGGCGTCAGAGGAGACTGGGGACTTGATTCGGTGCCAGATGACGTGGATGAGAGGTCATTGGCCGTGGCAGTGTCATCCCAACCACCTTCCGTGTCTCCTGAGGTTGGATGAGATGATGTGTGAATGAGAATAGCAGACGTGACCTCTGGGACCCTCTCCCCCAACCTGGGCCATCCCTCAGTGGGAGTCCAGAAGCATCTGCCCAGTTCTGGCTTCAGGGTAGAAATCCACAGCAAGACCCCAGAGACTAGTAGGGACTCAGGCACACTCCAGGCTTTCTTTGAGAAATTAGTGAGCTCAACATTTCAAATCCAGGTGAATGAATGTCTATAAATTCTAAGGATGTGGGATCCAAGTACTTGTGGATTATCTGGACAGAAGCTCGCTCTCTTTTCTCGGAGGGAGATGCAGGAATGCAGGCAGGACAGGGAGGCATCAGGGCAGGGAAACAAAGGCATTCTCACTCCCCACCTCACCTGGAATGGGTACAGTACCTAATACGGGGGCACTGACACTCCGGCCACGATCTCCAGCCAACCAAGAAGCAGAGAAGCCACATGAGGAAACAAGAGAGGCCAAAGTCCAGCCCAACAGAGTTATAGGGGAGCAAAGAAATAAACAAAAGGATGTCATCGAGCAAGAGAGAAAAACTCAAACAGAAAGAAAAATAATCCCATAGAAGGATGGGGTGAGTGGTGACAGACTGAGAGGAGGTCTCATGCGAGGGGACCAAATGCTCCTGGTGGGCAGACTGGGATATCCACACTCAAGAGAAGGGGGGAGAGCAGAGTCTTAATATACTAGGCCATGTCCCATGTGGGCACCGGGGCTCACTAAGCTCATAGAAGGATCTGAGGCTGCTCTGAGTCCAGCCTGAGTGTCCCGAGGACACACTCATGTAAGGGCTGATCTCGAGCTCCTGCAGCCGAGGGCAGAACTGGCCTTCATGCAGCCAACACATGGGCTGACTCAGGGAACAGCTGAGGCTGAGGAGTCAGGTGTAGGGAGAGCTCTGCCGGACCAGAACATTCCCTGCTGGGCCCTGTTGAATATGCCCCCGCTGTTGGGGAAAGATGGCCTGTTTTGAATAAAAAGCAGCAAAGGCCTCTGTGGTTTCAGGTCCTAATCACCAAAAGGATCCCTGTAGACAGAAACCCCGGCCCACTGGCCACTGACCCCATTGGCCTGAGGAAGTGCTCTCACCTGGAAGAGCCCACACTATCCTCCTGTAGGGAGGCTGCAGAGGAGAAGGCAGAGACGGGAGAGGGGAGATCAGGATGACAGAGGGAAGGGGGTGTCCGAAAAGGAGGGGAAGGGATGATGGGAAGGACGGGAAGGGGTTCGAAAGAGGAGAAAGAGAAGAAGAGGGGAGACGAGGCTGGGTAACTGCAGCTGGAAAGGAGTGGGGGGCATGCACACCCTGGTTTGCTGGGACTCTGAAGTGCTGACCTTAGGAAACAGCTTGCCTAGGCCCAGAGGAGCCTCTAGAAACGGGACCACTCAGGGTACAACTTGTCCCAGCCACCTACGCCCACCGTTCTCCAACTGTGGACTGTGGTGGTAGGTGCGGGGATCTGTGCAGTCCTTGGAAGTGCCAGGCATGCCGCTCAGAGGCCACCAGCCCAGGGTCTGGACACTCACTCAGCCTCTGCAGGCCGCTCCCTGCGGCATCAGGCAGGCAGGCGGTGGGAGATCTGGCAGCCTCCCCATTCGGCGTGCCTCCTGAAAGCTTCCCAGGTAACGTGGGGTATTTGTGCTCCACCAGGAAAGGGCTGGCCTATTGGAAGGGGAGAGAAGAGAGTTGAGCCTCAGACTCAAACCCAGTTAGGAAACCCTTGGATGCAGGAACAACTTCCTATTCTCTGGGAGCCATTTTTCACTTAGGTTGACTCAAAGACCTCTCAAAGGTTATTAAGCCTAGGCCAGGAAAGGGGATCAGAGATCTGAGAGTGGAAGAAATTTCTCAGGGCCATACAGTAACACAGGGACAGAACCAAGTCCAAATCCAGGGCTCATTGCAACTGCCTCTAACCCGGAAGTGGGGGTGTCTTGCAAAAGGGGCCTTTGCTATTTGTCCTAGTACTCAGAGGACAAACAGAATTCTAACAAAAGCTACCTAGAGCTTTATCACATTCATTCATATACGTGTATGTGTGTGTGTACGTACACGTGTGTGTATGTGTATGTATATGAAACGACAATCCTGCAAGAGAGGAGACTGAGGTCAGTTTGGTCTGGGCTTCTCTGTTTCCCCAGACTTGCTTTCCTGTGGGCAGCAGAGCAGCAGTTGTGCTAATTAGGACCCTGACTCAGACCAGGCAAGGACTTGACCAAGTACACAAACTACATGGACCTTGCCGGAGAGAATGCAGGGGGCTTACTGCTTACATTTGAAAAAACCTATACTGTGATAACAGTTACTTGAAAAACATCACGTTAAGGCAAACAAGAAGACACACACACATTTGGGAGAGATGACAGCAGGAAACAGGCCAGAGGGCTGCATGCCAGCAGACTTCCCTTAGGAACTTGGGATCACAGGCTCTGTGCTTGGACCCTGGCCACGGAAAGGTCCCAAAGAAACACGTTGATTAAAAGACAAGAAGAATAGCACTTATTTGATTAAGAAGCATATTATGGCCCCTAAATCTGCAAACCTGAGGGAAACACAGTGGAATGCACTGTGAGAGAATAAAAGAAACGAGAAGCTGAAGCAATGTCACCGAGAAAATCAACTGTGGATCACTTGATTAGACTGAGAAAAAAGTGATATGAAAGACAAAACAGATTTCAAACTGGCAAGTCAGAACAGTAATGGGAGACTGCCGTGACTCAGACATCTTTTGAAGTTCCATTTAGCTAAAAGCCAAGTGTTTGGTACATTTCTGAATTCAGTTTGCTTACAAATGCATGTCCTCAAAATTGCTTGAAATTCAATTCATTCATTGGACACTGAACAAAACCCTCTAGAAATAAGCTCAGAAAGGAGAGAGATGGGAAGAGGAAAATAAACTCTTAAAGAATTCTGAAAGAAGTGGCCAGTGAAGTAGTGAAGTAGAAGTAATTAGAGATAAAGATCAAGCAATTTTCACATTTGTGATGACCTATGAAGTAGAGATTAGACACGATCAAACATGTGAGCATGACTGGCCAGGTGAGGTGGGTCAGGTCTGTAATCCTAGCACTCTGGGAGGCTGAGGCAGGAGGATCACTTGAGCTCAGGAGTTTGAGACCAGCCTGAGCAAGAGACAGACACCATTTCTACTAAAAACAGAAATATTAGCCAGGCATGGTAGTGCATGCCTGTAGTTCCAGCTCCTTGGGAGGCTGAGGTAGGAGGATCACTTGAACCCAGGAAGCTGAGGTTGCAGGGAGATGTGATGATGCCACTGTACTCTAACTGGGGTGACAGAACAAGATTCTGTCTCAAAAAAAGAAAAAAAAAAAGACTAACAGTTTCCAAATGCCAAATGCTAGTTCATGCATTGGCTGCTTCATAACTACCTGGGCACTTGTAAAACAACAGGAATTCCCACCTTCCCTCAGCTCCATAAATCAGCCCCTCTGGAAGTACACCAGGAGTATGTATTTTTAACAAGCATCTCAGATTATTCTGATGGAGTCACACCCAGGAACCACTGGCTGTGGGAAGACAGTGTTCAAAAGTTTAGAGAACTAAAGGGAATGACTCCGAGCTCCACATTATACAGGAAATATGGGAGGGGGGAGGGCTCTCAAATGCAGGTCTTTGGCTGCATCCTCAAACGTGCTTCCCTGCAAAGCAGGGCAGACCCAGCCAAGGACACCACATGGGCCACCCAGGGAGCTCCCTGAGGAGCCGAGATGCAGAGAGCTCACACCTAACCCAAGCCATGGGGTTCAAAAAGTGGCCCAGACTGGTAAGAAAGACAACAGAAGGAACTGAGGGCAACGGAAAGGGCTCTCTGAGCTCTGCTTAGGCCAATAATAAAAGCTGGGAAGGAAGGACGCACTGCTGGAAAAGGTAGGACACAGAGGAACAGGGATGCTCGACTCCAGTTCTGTCTCCAGCAAGAGTGGCCCTGGCTGTGGGGAAAGGCAACCCCAGGCAAGGGAGCAGCGCAGACTGATTACCCAGCTGCTTCCAATTAGAACAGAGAGGCAGCACGCCAGAGTGGAAAGCGCCCAGGGTTTGAGTCAGACTGATTCAGGCAAAGCTCTTTCACCTCTTAGAACCTCTGTTTTATCATTCCCAAATAGAGCATGACAATTCCTGCCTCAGGTTTGCCATGAAATAACATTTGCTCCGGGCACGGCGCACAGTGGACAGCAGATAAACAGAAGCACAGAAAATATCACATGCCCAGGTCCTAGAGGGACAGCAATCTAGAAGAGCAGTCCCTGCATCAAGGCAGGCACAGGTCAGACTCCCGGTAGAGTATCACACTCAGGTCTGGTCCAGGGCACACCTTAAAGAATGTATTGCGAAACTAGTGCTGACACTAAGGAGACTGAATAGGAGCTTTAAAGGCTTGTGATCCACCCTCATGTCCAGCAGAGAACAGAGCACTGAGAGGGGATGAGGGACTTAAATTCTAGAGCTGTCAGGAGTAGGGCAGACTGACTTTTTCCATGGGCTCCACAGGGAGAGCCAGGATCGGTGGATACACATTCTTGGGAAGCCCTGATAGAGCTGAAAAAGAACACAGGGCTCTCAGTCACAGAAAACAACGGCCAGGCAGCAAGGTTGGGGGGTGCTGCTGAGAGACTACTGTACCTGTGGAACAGTCCCAGGGAGCACAGTGGTGTATGTGGGTGTGAGGAGAGGGGTGGCCAGGTGGAACTAATTGAGTCTGCAGAAGATTGTGATTATGGTCAAAGCTATATGAGAATCATCTTTTAATCTAGAATATTTCTTCTTTTATAAACAGTCACTCGTCACTCCTATTTCTTGGCAATCAAATCAGTGCAAATTACAGCCGGAGCCTGTGAGCTAGCTGTGCCTCCAAAGGAGCAGGTGATCACTTACAGATGTGCTCTGGAAACACCTGAGGATGACCTCTGTGAGGCTGAGGAGGGACGGGGACTGCTAAGTGAAAGATGCAACACAGCAGCCTCCATAGGAAGACTTTCAATTTACCAAGGGACCCCACAAGCCCTGCCCAAAGGGACTGTGTGTCCAGAGCACCTGGACAGGGGAGCAGGCAGAAGACCTTTGCTGCACAGTCCAGGTGGCCCAAGGAATGGCTGTCCAACTGAATCACCCACTGCTGTGCATATGGAAGGGCAGAGAATCCCTTTCTATAGATTCAGAGGTGCAAAAAGAATCTTCTTATGCATAGCTGGAAGGCAGAGAAGCTCATTTCTAACACATCAACATGAAAATATAAAACGATGCTCTCAGGCAGAAGTCAGCAAGCAGTGAGGCCCAACATCTCATATGTGGAGGCAGGACACAGAGAAGGGGCATGCCGTTGGCCTTACATTTCCCATCTAATGTTATAAATCATGGTTGGGCGTGGCTGAAATCAGGCTAATCATACAAATCTTCAGTTCATCATGTGCTCAACATTTGTGTATCGACCTGGAAACTTAGTCCTCTTCCACAACGGGCTTCCTTGGAGAAAATCGGTTCTAATGGGATTTTGATAGCTTGACTTGTTCATTAAAGGGGGACTCAGTGTATTCCTGTGTTTTTTTTAACCACAACCTATCCACAGAAAGGATAAGAGCTGCCATACTCTTCCGTGTGCTAAGACCATAACATCCCCCCTTCCCAATGATTAAATCTAGATTGCTTTGTTAAGGATTAATTTCTCTGAGCCTATAAAGTGGAGGTAATAATAATAAATCCTACCCCACAGATAATGGTGGTGAAAACACATTATATAGCTGGATGCACATAAAAAGAAAATGGGGGAGGAAGTTCTGTCTTTCCTCGTGTCCTCTAGCCCCTTATGGCTAACATATTTTAAGGTTACAAAAGCTATGATTTGCTAAATTAAAATGCTAGCAGACAGTGCTACCACAAATAGGTGATAGGGGCTGAAGTTAATGTACCTTGGGTTCTACCACGGGGGAGAGCTGGTTCCCATTGACACACTACGGAGCAGCAGGAGGATTTCAATTATGTGGAGAGAAAGAAACCTGTGTTAGTCACAAACAACAACTCATGACCACCTGCCTGCTTCTACCTGAAAGGCTCTTCCCCTCTTCTCCTCCCCTCCAAGTCAGGTAATTACCATCCATGGCAGGAAACACAGGTCCCTGTCCAACTCCATGGACAGACGTCCTGAGCAGCTGCCGGCAATATGACCAGGGCAGTGAGAGGCCCAGGACCATGGGAGCAAAGCCACTGAGTGAGGCCATGGTTCTTGGCTTCTCCACTGTCACACCAGGGAGCTGGCCCATCGCTAGAGACCCAGGCACGGTATGCAGCATGGGCTCATTGGGGGCTATCAGGCCAGGATGCCTCAGTCTCTACAGACTAAGCTCAAGAGCCTGCAACCCTCCCCTGCATCATGGGTTCTACCCACATGATCAAGGGACACCCCATACAAGGAGCCACAAAGCCTTCCTCATATCTTTCTAGACTCATACAATAGCTCCCCTCCAATAACCTAAATTATCCCTCATCTTACTGGGATCACCTCCTTTACCCACATTACTCCCTCATTCCAAATCTTTCTGATGCCCCCCAGTGCCCTGAGGCTAAAGGGCCAAGATTCAAGATCTCTGGCTTGACCTGACTCATGGCTCTGAACTTACTGCCTCTCACTCCATACCATTTCCCAAAACCTTCCCGTGCCCACCAGACTCTAACCAAGCCTTTGCCCAGCTCAACATCTTCTCTTAGCAACTCCAGGCAACATGTCCTGACTTGTCTTTTTCTTTAGGATACCTTGGACCACACCTAACTGGTTTTCTCAAAATGTTCATGTAACTCCTGCCTCCCTAAAAATTTTATAAAAGCCTCTGCAAGGTAGGGTCTAGGACATTGTCTGTATAATCCTAGCACTGTACTGGTCCCAAAGAAGTAATCAGTAATCTTTAAGGATAGATTGATGGGCTGACCTTATCCACAGATTCACTTCTCAAGTCTTCCAGACTACAGGAAAGTTTTTTCTGAGCTCTGGAAAAACACAAAACAAAGTGAACAAATAAACAGTTACTGGAGAATGAGGTACATAATATCACTTAGAGAACATTGCAAATCCTTGACCAGTAATCTGTTTTAGGGTTAGGGTCACTGCTGAGAAAAAAGTCACCCTCTCCTAATAGCCATTGCATATAAAATGGGTGGGGCCCACCTTATGGATGGGTAGTGAAGGCATGAGGGCATCACTTAAATCCAGTCTTTAGCATTGCTCAAAAAGCTAGAATACACTCAATGCCATTGTACCGATGGGAGGTGACTATAGTGTGGTCATAAAAGACAACCAATATCTACAGAGTCAAGGAAAGGCACTGATGCTCAGCTTGCCTGTGAGTCTAAGAGTGAGCCAGGCGGAGGGGGCTGGCACCTGCCTAGAGTAGATGAGCCCATCAGCCAGCTCCAAAGCACCCCCTTCCGGGACCCCTCCACCCTCTTCTCTGTCTCCACATGCCCTGCGCAGTCTGCTCAAAGGAATTTTATTCCCTCCGGGACTATTTTCCAGAGAAGGGAACCAAATGGGTAAGGAAGAGGCAATGCCACCAGTGATCACAAGGGTAACCTTGTGCCCAGTCTCCTGGGCAGTCATACTTTCTCAGTTTATATGAATAAGTCGGCATCTCTGTACATGAGTCTCTTGTGACTCTGGGCAGTGTGTGCGTTCCTTGGTGTTGACATCCCCCGAGTGAACTCAGAAACCAAATTTCTTATTCTGCAAAACTAAAGACTGGGGGGAAGGGGGGTATGGGCAATATATGTAACCTTAACAGTTGTACCCCTGTAATACGCTAAAATAAAAGAAAGAAAAACAAAACTAAGGACTGGCCAATTGTCCTCTGTGACATTGCCATTTAACTCTAGGGCTACAGGCTCAGGGAAACAACGGCTGTCTGGAAAGTGGGCTCAGAGAATGTGGGCTCTGGAGCCAAGGCACCACACGGGGATGCTTCTGCCATGCTCGTGACTACCTTCCCCTGACACCTTAGCTGGAAGACACAGTCTGTTCTTGGCAGAGAAGCCTCCAGAACCCTCTTCCATGGGGCCTAATTTGAAAACATGTTCTGAAGTTCAGACATAGGGAACTATGTATTGGTTCATTTTAGAGGGAACCAGACAGCCAACTGACCTCAGAAGGAGCCCATTATAAGTGTATTGCTGTGAAACACCCCCAAAACAATTAGACCAGCTGCCCTGTGAGGAGAAATGGCCCTCTCTACAAAGTCTGGATTGTCAAAGGGCTAAATTCACCCTGAGAGCAGGAAAGAGGCTGATGGAAACCACACACGTCATGGGATGTTCTCAGGAGCTTCTGAAGGACACATGAGTTGCAGCCACCTCTCCTCTGAGCTTCCCACCCCTGGCCAGGGACAGTGATCCAGACCCTTAACCTGTGGGAGGGGAAGCCCCTCTGCAGCCAGGGGAGAGAGGCCTGGTCTGTGACTGCCCTGACAACGGACAGTGGGTGTGCCCAGGACATGGTGGCTGTGCTCACCACACGTGGCCAGTCACCGTCCACTTCAGGAGCCTCAAGGGAGGCCTATGAGCACAGTGGCTCCGGGGAAATGTTCAGGCCTCTTACCTGGTTTCCAGTGACTTCTGCGGCAGTGGAGGTGGCCCTGGTGCAGGGGAGCTACATCTCGGAGGCATCTGCACCAGAAACAGAAGAGTCACTGTAGGGGACAGTCACTGTTTGGGGACCACCCAGCATCTTCTCCTATTATTTCAGTGATTCTTTTTAGGGAGTTACACTTCTGCCCCTGGGTAAAGCCATGGTGGATAAATCAGTATGGATGTCTTGCTCTTTCAAGACGCCAAAGGGGGTAGGTATATCCACACATCTGGGCCAATCTGCCTCTCCTCCCTGGGCCCAGATCTTAGGTGATGTTCATATCCCAGAAGTAGAGTCCTGAGACCTGCGTTCCTGGGCTTTTGCTGCTCCTGCCCTTTCTGAGCTTGGTTTTCACCTTTTCCTTTCACTCAGCGAGCCGCTGCACACCCTTCAGATTTTGTTGCTTGCAGTGAGGGAACCCTGATTGACATGGTCACTCAGCAAACATCAGCAACATCTGCCACCTGCCAGGCCCTGTGCTGGGTCTGGAGCAAGCACTCCCACATCTGGTAGGCAGACAAGTAAACTAGGCTAAAAGAACAATGCAACAAGTCCTTACACCACTGACACCTATAACATAACATGGGAATAGAGGGAGGGACCCCCGCCCTTTCCCTGGTGAGAAGATTGGGAGGGTTTCAGAGGAAAGAACAGCTGAGCTCAATCTCAGGAAATGAGAATCAGCTCAGCAAGAAAGGCAAGAGAGCATCACAGGTGGAGCAAAGGTGAGCTAATGGTGGTGTGGGAGAACACATTTCTATGTCTTGTGTATTGGGCTGACTGCAAAGACTGCCTCTCTTCTCTGCACCCCAGCATCTTCTTGGTCTGCTGTGGGCAGAACCCCTGCATTACAGCACAGTTGTTACAAGCCTGGGCTTTGTGGTCAGATAGACCTCGGTTCAAGGGCAGGTTCTGGTATCTACTTGCAGTGTGACCTAGGGCAAATTGCTTACCTTCTCTGAATCTCAGCTTCCCCACAGTAAAATAAGGATCCCAGTGGGGTGTCATGAGTGAATGAAGTGAGCCACGTACAGCGCTCATCAGAGTGACCACACAGAGGTGTCAGTTACTGCTATTTTGTCAGTTATAGCAATCTAGGGCGCTTGTCCTGACTCGGTAAGTGGGTCACTGGATGATACTTTTGCTCCTCTCTTAATAAAGATTGAGCTGGACAACCAAGATCCATTCAGTCTGATCACCTGGAGTTTCATGAAACCTCTGGGCCAGAGGTTGAAGCCCCTCCTCCACCTGAGGTCTGTGTCTCTGAGCTTGTTTGTTTATTTGTATCTAGCCTAAGTCCAGAGAGATCCATACAATAGGACGAGATTTTAAACAGACAAGAGGAGAGAAGGAAAATCTGTGTGATAGTTATAGGGGCTGAGGGGCTAACTGTGAAGCAGGTAGGTATCGCTTCAGAAGTTGCCATTATCCCTTTAAATGAGCAAGATATGTTCATTCATTCAACAAATATTTGTTGAATTCTACTGGGTATCAGGCATTACTGCAGCCCCTGGACAAACAGTGGTAAATAAGACAAACACCACCTTTGGTCTGTGCTTACATTCTAGAAAAGAAAGACAGACATAAAAAAGAAATCCAATTAAAAGGAGAATTCCTATCCTTGAAAATTCCAGGATCCACCATCTCAACCAGAACACAGGCTGAGCCTCAGTCCCAGGCCCCCATCCTCTCTCTGGGGCTTGAGGGCCAGTCCATTGATCTGATTATTCACCTGTCAAGATGTGTGCCTGATGGTGCCTAACTGCATCCTTCCTCAAGCTCAGGGCATGCTCCAAGGACCTGCTAAAACCCTGCATCATGGACAGAAAGACAGTACCTCTTGTTTAAATAAGTCTTCAGGGCCTTTATTTGGAGTGTTCCACTTTCTGAAACTTCCCTCCAGTTCTTCTTCATTGATTGAGAGCGTTCTCTCCGAAGGCCCTGGAATCATTAATGCAGAAGGGGTGATCACTACAGCGTGAATTGCTCAGAAACCTCTAATTGTACAACAAAATCCTAACATTGTGTTTCTCCATCATTTAGAAAGACTAAGAAATACAGAGAGAGGCTATTAAGAAGGTGATTGGGAAGGTTCTTCAAGGCATCTGAGCAAGGGCTGTCATCAGGGTCACTTCAAGGTCAAAGCTGCCTCCAACCTTCTCACTCCTCAGCCACGGGCAATCAGGCCCCAAGAGTAACTTGACCCAAGATCTCAAGGATGAGAGAAAAGAGCACTTTGATGTGGAGCACTGGATGAAGAGAGCTGGCAGAGGCCCTGGGCAGTGACCAGTTGGCCACACCCCAGGGGAGGCTTGGCTTCTTCCTAAGAGGCAGCAGCAGCTCGGCCAGAATCAGGGGTACCTGAATACCTCCAAAGCACCCTCTTTTGTAAAACAGCTGCTTCCTCGGGATTTGTGATGGGAGCCCAGGTCAATCACATGAACAAAAGGGAGGCACCCTGGCACAGGCACAACCCTGTCCACGAGAACACCGATGCTGCCTGCATGTTGCATTCAGTCTGGGCAGCAGATGAGAAACACAGCAGTTCTCCCTGTCCTGTGACTTCCTGTGACAACCTAGGCATCCAGTGACTCAAAGGCGGCTCCCAGAGGGCACTCTGAGCCTGCTGGGGAGCTTTCGATTCTCTAGGAGGTGGACAAGCCCTGATCCCCAGTGAGGGCACTGAGTTGATTTTTGATCCAGGTGTGACTCTACTTGCTGCCTCTAAGGCGTATCCTGGTAAGATGTGCAGGAGGCCCTCCCCGGGTAGGTGACCTGGATAGTTCCTGAAAGTTCTAAGCTGACTGCCACTTGATGAAATTTCTGGAAACCAACAGCTGCCAATTTTCCACCATCCAGGAAAGTCTAAACAACTCCATTCTCCTAGGGGGAATCTTCTCTAAAATGGACATAAAACATCTTCTGGCAGAACTGTCCCTAGATTTAGCACAGCTGATGGATATGTTTCAGAGAAAATGGCAGGATCACCTTTGTTCTTACCTTGAGTTGCCATCACAATCTCCTTCACTCTGCGGTACTGGTTTAACAACCCCGTAAGCTCCTCTATGCGACGGTCCTGCACAGTGTGAGAGGAGATTTAGATTAACGCCACCACCGGCATCTCAGATGATCGCATTTTGGGGTCCAGGGTGTGTTCGGGGCACAACGAGAAGAAACCCCATGTGGAATGCTTGGAATACTCCAAAGGGAAAGCATAGCCAGGCCCCACCCCACAGAGCCGGGGTTTCGGTGGTCTGCCCCACCGGCAACTCATGCAGGCACTCGTGACTCTACCTGAAGGCTGTGAGCCACCAGTAACCGAGATGCCCTTCACAGGCTTAAACATTTTAAACAGCATCAAACTCACTGTCTTCCTACCCTCCTGCAGTAGCCACTGAAATCTGCCTCCTGGTCTGCGTGTAGCCCTCTGGAGCCACACAAAAAAGACTAAAATACAGCTGTCATATTTATCTCAACATCCTCACCTGTCTCTTAGGAGTCTGAGATACCTTACACTACAGAGGAAATTCTCAGAAGACATCATATCTTTTAAGGCAAGGGCTTAGGGACTTGGGAGGCCACACAGATCCTGGACAGACCCGGGTGTGAAACCTGGCTCTGCCATTTACCAGTTACCTGACTCTGGGCAAAATTAGGCACTTTAAGTCTGTTTCCTCATCTGTAAAATGCAGGGTTCTGATCCTCAGAGATGATGTTTATACCAGCTAGGTGCTCTTTATTTATAGAGGTGGCTATTTATGGTTATGCTGGAATTAGATATGAAAAATATAAAGACATCAGGGTAAACTGAGGCATTATATGCAACCAATGTCTCTGATGGTTCTATAATCAAGTCATGCACATGGGAGATTGCTGGGAGTCTCAGCAGGAGCTATGATACTGGCAGTAACCACAGCGGTACGTTCCCCACACCAGCAGGAACAGGTAGTGCTCTCATCTGCCTTTAGGAGATACCATTTAGGCAAAGTTCCCAGGCATCAAGGCAGAAGCCATTCTCCTGACACATCCCTGTGACAATGGCATGATGCACACGGCCCTGTCCAGAGTATCAGAGACCAGTAGGGACCAAACAGAGCCAAGGGTGTCAGCAAGGAAAGGACAGGGCTGCCCAATGACCATCTTACCTTATCTTCATTGGCAACAAGTAAAGTTTCCATCCCCTTTTTCAGACATTGAATTTCTTGGTCTAAAAAAATATAGGTGTAGAAATGTTAATATAAATGCAAATACTTATTTCACATGCTAAGATGCTCTTTAAGTGCAAACTTGAAGACTTTTTATGTGAGCATGGCTCTTTTATTTATTTAAAGACACCAGGATGGTGTCTAGCATAAAGTCAGTCACATTAAATATTTGGTAGACTACTAAATGAATGAACCTAGTATTTTGTCTTCTCTTTACAGACTTTTTTTTTTTTTTTTAAGACAAGAGTCTCACTCTGTTGCCCGGGCTGAAGTGCAGTGTGGCGTGATCACAGCTCATTGCAACCTCAAACTCCTGGGCTCAAGCAATCCTCCTGCGTCAGCCTCCTGAGTAGCTGGGACTATAGGCTTACATCATCACGCCTGGCAAATTTTTTGTATTTTAAAGGTAGAGATGGGGTCTCATTCTCGCTTGGGCTGGTCTCAAACTCCTGGCCTCAAGCAATCCTCCCACCTTGGCCTCTCCGAGTGCTAGGATTACAGGCATGAGCCACCGTGCCTGGCCTTCTCTTTATAGACATTTATGGGCAAAATCAAAATGCCATGTACTCAAAGGTGACGCAGAGAAACTCAAAAGTCTTTCATAGCCAATGTCTCCTAAGAATACAGACATTCTTATCCTTTGCCACTCAAGTAGGCATGTGCCTGGGCTGCTGACTGGTTTTGAAGAAAATCATACAGGTGACAGACTGAAGGCAGAGGACTATTCAAAATGAGGAGGAAAATGTCTACAGCTGAATGGAGACTGGGAAATAAAAATTATGTGAAAGAGTTGAGTACTTGGCTTAATTTAAAATGGTACCATCAAAATTGACTAACAAATGTTTAGATGCATTGATAAATAAATATCAACATAAACTCTATGGTTAAGAGAAAACAATCTTATTTCATCATAAACCTATAGAATTTCCCAACAGGCCAAGGAATTGTCAGTCTGTGGTGGCAAACTCATGGCCTTGTCTCACTTTGGACCCAGCAGGGACCCTCTCGACTTCTCTAACTGTTCTGGAAAACCAGGTCAAAGGCTGATACCTAGAAGATCTGGAGGTCATTTGCCAAATACTCAGAGGTCTGAGAATTGGCACATAGCTAGCGTTTCCAAAGAAAGATCTATACCCATCCCTAAACTGGTCACTGCAAAGGGAACAGGGCTATCTATATAAGAAAAGTACAGGAGATAAGGGAACAAAAGTATAGGCATCCTATTTCCTTTTGGGATGCTTGTTACATCCAACAAGAATAGCAACAGTAGATCTACAGACTTTGTGTAAATAGGTGCGGGGATTCATTTTCAGAGTAAAATGGAGAGTGCTTGCTGGTTATCTTAGGTTCCTGGCAGCCAACATCAGCTCTGCAGCTCAGTTTGCAGGGGGGAGAGCGGTGAGCTTCAGACAAATACTAGCACCCTTGATTCACTCGTCATAACCAAACTTGAGCAGCAAATGACCAAAGGACCAGCTCAAGAAGGTAGCCAGGGATGGGGTGGGGTCTAGAAGGCTGGGACTGTGGGAAGCATGGGGTAGAAAGGGAAAGCTGCCTGGCCTAGAGGTCATAGTGTGGGACATTCTCCGCCCAGGGTTGGCATCAAAGATAGCCCAGGCTATCTTAGTAGAACTCAGCCTCCATGGTTAGGCCTTGGCAGGTAGGAGACACACCCGGTGGCTTGGGAAGACACCGAAAAAGGCTGAGGGAGGGATGAGCATGTTGGCACTAATTTCCTTCCCCAGGCTAAGCTGTAGTCATGTGGCTTCCAGACCCCAGGTGGGCTAAGCAGTGCTGAGGTTGAGAGGAGCCCAGGTAGCGGCCCCCATCCATGGGATTCCATGATCTCCTCCAGCAATGCTCTGCAGCCTAGTGGCGAGTGGAGAAGTTGAGGGTGTGTGGTTGCTTTCCATACATGGCGAACAGGCGTGGATATAAAATATGTGTTCACAAGAGCAGCTAAGGATTTACCCTCTATTTTTAATCAGTGATATTTGAGCTCTTCAGCGACCATTCTCCAGCCTTCACTTATTCAGTAAATATTTCTGAGGAGCCTACGATGGGCTGAATATTGTGTTGGGCACTGGGGATACATTCTTAAATAAGAAAGATATCGTCTCCGCCCCAGAGAGGGGATGACAATCCATACTATGAGATCTCCCAAAACACAGCACTGGTAAGTTATAATAAGTGCCATGAAGGAAACAAGAAGGTTGTTGAGTTAGAGAACAATAGGGCTGGGGCACCTACTGGAGGTAGGGTGGCTAGGAAAACTCTGAGAGGTAACATTTGGAATCGCAAGGATGAAAGAGAACTGATTTGCTTCTGTAACCTCAGGGCTTTGTACAAATGTCAGGTCGGTATCCCTGAAATGAATGAATAAATTGCTAAAGCCTCCCCTTCGGTGATGGCACAGAAACAAGTCCTTTCAATCAAATCAAAGAGCCAGGTATTTCCTACATTCTCAGTAAAAGCTCCAGAGGCGGCCGCACGGAGCTTCAGTTAACACTGTGCGTCTGAGAAAAGCCTTCAGAGCTAAGCCCTCTGGTTAGGGGAGGCTGCCATGGCTACAATTCCATAACAGACCTGTGCTTTATATGCATGCGTGTGCACACACACGTGCACCCATTCACTTGGAAATGTTCACACACAAACGTGCATGTACATGCACCTTAGCATGCCTACACACACAAGCATACACACACTCTCTCACAGGCACAAAGGGCCAGGGCAACTGCATCCTGTCTCAGTCAAGCCAGTTACCTTTCTCTGCGTGGTCCCCGTGGAGAGCTGCCGTCCGGGAGAGCTGGCTATGCAGTCGCTCAATTTCTGCATCTTTCAGGGCCACCTGCTCTTGCAGCTGGGCTACCTCGGCCTGAAAAAGCAACAGAGTATCCCTGCCAGGTCAGAAGGACTGCCGAACCATGAAGAAGCGCCTCCAGCAGAGTCCAGAGCCCACTGGGCCCCAGCACACGTCAGGAGTTAGGAGAAGAGGGGAGCAGGAGGGGCCAGCTGCCCTCCCCACAGGGTGGGTCTCTCTGAATGAACTCACTCTTCCAGGCTGTTCTGGCCCTGCCTACTCTCTGGCCATCAACCTGATCTTTCCCATGCACCCTCCAACCTGACCAGGCTCTTTCTCTCCCGTTGTGTGGGGCCGAGATGGCACTGAGGCCCAAGGAGCTGGGATTGTGTGCAGTGGGAGCGCTGTCCTCTGAGAACAGATGTATATCCTCTTTCTGGACATGGTCTTCCTTCTCCCAAGATATTCACGCAATAGATATGCCACTGCAACAGATGCATGTGGCTGTCATCTTCCCACCTCATACAGGAAATACAGTGGAAATGAAATCACTCCTGGTAGACAAAGGGTGAGCCAAGTGCTTCCCACTCTCAACACTCTCCCACACTTTGGGCAGTCACTACCTCTGCTCACTCTCCAGGCTCATGTGTACACTCACCCACGCAGACATGTGTATAAGCACGCGGTGGTGCTTAGCAGATACACTTTTGCAAAAAAGAAAAAAAAGCATGTAAACAGCACATAAGTGCAAGCGTACATTCTCATATGCACCCAACACAGGCAGCTAAGTATAGCAGGTTGAATTTCACAGGCAATGCTATGTGTGGGTGTCCATGCTTCCCGTACTCATGAGAAGGTCAGAATTGCATAGGTCCCATCCCAAGAGGTACCTTGGCTTTAGAGTCAAACTTGGATGCTCTCATTTCCTAGTTGGGTGACCTTGGGCAAATAAGTTAACCTTTCTGAGTCTCGGCTCATCTATAAAGTGGGAAAAATAGCAGCTACTTCATGGCAGTGCAGTGAGGATTGAGTAAGACAATGGTTATAACAACTTAGCCCAATACTTAGTACATTTGAAGCGCTCAATAAATGCTACTGCTATTGCTCCTCTCATCTTACTCCTTCTCTTATGGATAATCAGCCCAGTTCTCTGAGCATCAACTAAATAAGAAAGTGGTTGAGAACTGACCCCTGAGCCAGTCAATGGAACACACAGCAAAGGCTTGTACTCTGGCCACCCACTCCCCATGTGGTGGCCCAGTCAGGCCCCACATTTGGTCCTCAAACTCATGATACGGGCTGTCTATCCCCAAAGAGGCCCAAGTTAATCTCTAAACAACCCCAAGTAACAAAATGAGCACTGGTCTTCTTGGTGGCTCCTTTGTCGGACAGGCCTTGTGATCAGTTTCACTCCTGACTGAGCACCCACCCTGTGTCAGCGCCCACACTTGCTGCTTTATTACATCAAACCTCCCTCAATCCTCACCAGAAATCATAGGAGGAAGCAATATCTCTGCAAGTCACTGGGGAGAAAACAGGAGTAGTATAGGATTTGGTGTCAAAGCCACAGAGCTGCTCAGTGACCGGGCCAGGATGCAAACCCTGAGCTGCCAGCTCCAATGCCCAGGGGTCCAATGCCAGGGCTCCAACCGTACCCACGCGGCCTGTCTGCTTCTGAGTTATCAGGACAGATGAGGGCCTCTCTTATGAGTCTTGGGCTCCTTTCCCTAAAATCTCCCAAATGGGAAAAGGATAAGCATGTAAAGGAAAAAGAGGCAACAAGGGATAAGGTTTCTTTTCTTTTCCTTTCCTTTTTTCTTGAGACAGAGTTGCACTCTGTTGCCCAGGCTAGAGTGCCATGGCATCAGCCTAGCTCACAGCAACCTCAAATCCCTAGGCTCAAGCAACCCTTCTGCCTCAGCCTCCCAAGTAGCTGGGACTACAGGCATGTGCCACTATGCCCAGCTATGGGGTAGGGTTTCCTTATTCCCAGATTCACCATGAAACACTGCCCCTCTGCTCTGGTCTCCACCCCCAGAGGCCAGAGAGCCGGGCCTTGCTGTGCCAAACTGCTTACTGAGACATGCAGCCACATGCAGCCACAGAGCAGCTTTTCAGAGCTCACTCAAGGCCAAGGTGCCCATGGGCTTATGATTCATGGTGGCAGTGGCTTCTGAAAACCTTAGCCTTGGGACTGTCAACCCAAATGCCTCTCATTTCTACAAGGGCCAGACAATTACTGGAAGAAAGAAATTCTCTTAACCTTTCTTGCATGTCTCCATGATCATTTCTCCCTTTCTTTGCAGACACGATGGGTGCTGGTCTCTATGAGGAATCTGGATCGTGACTCTTGTCTGCTGGTCCCATGGTTGGAACTCAGCGATGTGGGCCTATCAGACCCAGCCCAGCACCTGGCACTATGAGGTCTCTTCTCCCTGAGGCCTGCCTCTAGGGGAGGACATCCAGGCATATACATCTAGTGCCTAGCCCCTTCTTGGCCCAACTTCAGCTAGGTGCTATAGGGTGCAGCAAGAGGAAGCAGATTCGGTTATTGCACTTTAGTGGCTCATAATATTGCAGGCTTTCCCCCTGAGGAGTTTTCCTGAATCACATCTGAATCACTGGTGCATGCCCACACAGTAGGGTTGATCTGCATTTTCAAACTTAAGCTGCTGGAAAGCCTGAGTTTGAACGCAGACCTTCCCACAGGCCTGCATGCCCTCTCCGTAAGCATCAGAACCGCCTCTTACCTTAGTGGCCTTCAGCTTCCACTCATACTGATTCCGTTCATTTTCCAACTCTTCCACTTTGATTTTGAGGTGCCTGAGCTCTTGCAGTAACTCCTGGAGGGATGAAGGACAAAGACAAAGTTATGATGGTTAAAGGATGTGCCTGGAACTACAAACCGGGTTAATCCCATGCACAGAGGATGCAGCCACTGCATCAAGCTCCATGCGGCAGCTGTCATCCTTAAACATGGTCCTGTTTCACAAAAGCTGTGTAGCAATTTAAAAATAAAGGCCAGGGAGTTCCTGACATAGAAAGTGAAAACTTTAGCTGGGCATAATGGCATGTGCCTTTAGTCCCAGCTACTCGGGAGGCTGAGTTAGGAGGATTGCTTGAGCCCAGAAGTTCGAGACTGCAGTGAGCTATGATGACGCCAATGTACTCTAGCCCAAGCAACAGAGTGATACCCTGTTATCAGGAAAAAAAAAAAAAAAAAAGTGAAAACTTTCCTCGTATTTTTTGAACCTTTTCTGCCTGCCCCTTTCTCTGACATCTGTGCCCTCTGTGGGGTGCCAGCATCATGCACACAGGTGTATGGGGGCCAGGCAGGTAGGACTTTGGAGTGGGACATACAGTGATGCTGAAATGAGACAGCTTCTCCCCTTCTGATGCAAAGTAGCAGGAAGCAGGCCGACTGGGAGCATCTCTTTATACTAGGGGTGGAGGAACCAGAGGGGGTGGTCGGTGGTCCTGGAAGGCTTCACGGAGGAAGTGACAGGCAGCAGCAGGATAGAAATGAAATACTACATGCCAAATGCAGATGCCAGTACTGGCGTTCCCAGTTCAGAGGAGGAGGTTGATTTGAAGCAAGAAGGGAGGGAGAAGGCATCCAGGGAGGGGGATTGTCATGCCCCAGGGGAACCCTTAACTCCCCTCTAAGTCACCCCCATCTCACCAAATGGCACATCTAATTACCAGAGTCGGAAGCCTAGGATTCCTCCTCGGCACCTCCTCCTCCCTCTTCCCCTCCAGGCCTTATTAATTCCACTTCCAGGAAAACAACCTGAATGCTCATTTCTCTCCAACTCGACCACCACTAGTCTGGCCTGGCAGTTGGTGTCAGCAGCCTGGACATTCTGTTCATTGGATGCCCCTCTGTTGTCTCGCCCCTCTTGAGTCCATTGACCCCCACGCATTCAAGGAAACAATATGATTAAAATACAAATCTGACCGTGGAGCTTCCCTGCTCCTCAAAGCTATAAACTTTCAGATGTGACCAACAGCTAGGCCTCGCTGAGCTCCCTGCCTGCTTGTTGAGTCACTCTTTGTCCCCACTTACGCGCCAGCCGCAGTGTACAGTGTTTCATTCCTCTTCCCAACTTAGGCCTTCGCAGACACCATTCCCTCTGGAACTGTCTGCCAGGTTAATGCCTGCCGGTCCTTCAGGCCTCCCTGACCAAAGCTATCCCGGCCTCCACACTATGCCAGGAGTGCTATACTCTGCTATACTCTTGTACTCTGTGAGCCTCCTACAAAATTTGCAATCAAATGTTCATTTGTATAATCTAGTTCACCTCCTATGCTGTAAACTCCATGAGGCATTTGCCAACCTCTGATTATCTATTAACAGCAGTGCATATAGTAAGTATATGCTATTTGTCCATGAATAAACACACAAAGCTCAAATCATCATTTCACTGGCCTGGAGGTCTTGTCATTCTGAGACAATTCACCATAAGTGACATTGCTTACACTTGAATTTTGTAGGATAATTTATTAAGACTGTCTCATAGCTGAGGTAAGCATCTGCTGATGCCCATTTTAAAAAGTATCTTCCAAGCTAAGGTTACTGCATCTGTAATCTGCATCACTGAGCTCCCAGGCCTTAGTCACCAGCTTTGACTTGTAGCAGGTCCAGAATCATTTCCTGAGAGGCTTCAACACCCAGAAGTCGGGGGTCTTCTGCTCAGGCTTATATCCTAGCCAGGCTACTCAGTCTGTCCTGAGAGGACACCAGGCCTGCTAATACAAAAATGGGAAGCATGCAGGCTGCTACTGCCTGAGGGACGGCCACTGTGGGGACACAAAGGCCATGCTCTCTGGGCTCTTGTGACCTCTTTGGCATCTCCTCCTCCTATGCTATTTGTTGCATGTCATTGGCCACAAACACTGGTGCATAATTTATCCTCCTTTAGAAGTCTTGCTGGAGTCCCCACTCAACACAGGTCATGCCCTAACACCCTCCCAGCAGCCTTCCGATCCAAGTCTACACTTCACATCTTGACTTTTATTTTTTCTCCTGCCTTTAAAGTAGGAAATCTTCTCCACCTAACCTGTCCCCCAATGCCTAAGTCTGGGAAAAGATTTTCAACAGGTTCCATGATTGAGCATAGATCGTGGTAACTTCCTTCAGAGCCACGGCATGCTTGGCAATGCTCATGGGTTTTCTGATCTCAGCGTTTTGGGGGGAAGCGGGAGGGCCTCCAAGTCCTCTTCAACAGCAGGCTCACCTCTGCTGCAGCTGCCATCACACGCATCAGCAAGGTCACAGGGATCATGTCACCCTGTGTGAGGGGCCAAGTCCAGAATCCTAGTCAGATACACTCCACAAGGCCCAGAGGTTCTGAAATCACCCTAATGTCATTATGTGGGGGAAATATTCCTAGAAATTCAGATGATGACTTAATTGTTCACAGCAAATGGAAACTGGTCATTTATTTTCTCACTAAGGGAAACTTCTTTAAATATAAACTGGAAAGGATTATTTTTCATAATGCTATTTTTTTTCCTTAAAAAAAAAAGAGTCAGAGAATCTCGTGAAATGATTCACATTTCCAGCCCAGGAGGGGGAATCAGGACCTGAATCACGTATCTGGGCAGGAGAATCCTGAGGCTTCCTTTTGCACAATGTCCCATCACTTAGGGCATCTGGCACACCTCATTTCCCAGCCCTAAGGGAGGTAAGTGCCATCTGTCTTAGGGTTGCCCTCACCTGCTCGGACCCTGCTCAGTGAGGGTCACAGAGCTTACATCCCAAGAGGAGTGAGTGAGTCCCAGCTCTGCCCAGAGGTACAACAGATCCATGCTAAGCCACTGCACTCTTCTGGTTAAGAGAAACCCCAGCCCCTCCACCAGTGCAACGCCCCACACACGCATGCTCTGATATACTTAAGTGTGATTCCTACAGGTGACCCCTCCCAACGGGCACAGTCCTGGCTGCAGGGCTGGGGCTCGGCCACACCGTCGCCGGCCGCCATCTCCTCGGGGTGGTCCCTACTGAGTAACAGGCGCTCTTGAATCTGCCTGTGGATGTCCAGCTGCAGCCTACACATCTGCTCCTGCAGCTCACTGATCACATTCAGCACTGACTGTAGGAAGGAAAAGAGAGGAGAAAAAAGCACTCAAGGTCAGACAGAGAACTCCTTAAGAGAGTAGCACAGAAGGAAGGAAGTGTACAGAGGGTGAGCAGCAGGTGGGCACCCAGCGGTCACTGTCGATGGCCATCCACTTTCTTCGCAGGAACCATAAGACATGGCATTTTTCCTGAGGCCTGCCCATTGGGGGCCTGTCTTGCAGCTTGAACAACCCCCAACAACTCCTTTGGGCCGTACTAGATGGCCATCTTTGCATGTCAACATCTCAGGCACAGAGTCTAGAAGAAACCCTTCACCCAAGAAGCAATGGCAGAGATGAGTGCATGGCAGGGGCACACACTCAGAAACATCACCTCTACCCACATGTCTGTGCTATACATGCCAACTCCCATGCTCAAACACCCGACATGTCAACATCTGTACATAGGTGACATACACAGCATGCCCCACACTCATACATGGTATGTCCCCAACCCTAAATGCATTCAGGCACCAATATGCCTATTTTAGGCATTTTTCCTATATTTCTCCATCCTGTCTATAAGACTATCCCAATGTTTTTGCAACACTTCATCGCTGTGGATTCACCTGGACACATTCCTGGCCAAACCAATGAGGTCCATCTGATGTGACTCCCTCTTAGAGAACACGGATCCCTACTTAGCTTCTCAAAAACCATCACAGGGTTGACCCAAACTCAACAGACTATTGCACCTATTAGAGGCATGAGTGGAATCAAATCCATTCTTTGATCTTCTCAAGAACATAGCTAAAAAATAAAAAGGCTTTGTATTGTCCTTAGCATTGTCCTTTTGCTTGTGGTTTGCCTTTCTTGACACTGGTCATGCAGGTGCACTTTTATTCACCCTTAGTATATGTCCTTTCTATCCTTTGTACAAGCCCCTTTGAAAACCAGTTCCTCTCTAAGCTCTTCCTTTTTATTGGTATTATTTGTGAAACTGCACAGTCAGAATTATATTATTTTTAAGCAGTTAAATATTCTTGAGTCATCTTCTAGAGTTCCCCATCCATTTTATTTCTACACTTTCAAAGTTATGACTTACCCAAGTCTATAGTGCATGTCTGTCTATGCCTACTTTTTCCCAACACTTGCATTCGTGAACTTTCAAATAACAATGACCACTTTCTCTGAAGGTGCCTATCACTTATACTTCATAAATGACCTTCTGCCTTTGCTTTGATATTGGAACTAGAATGGCAGTTTTCCCAGTTTTGTTTCCTATTCTCTGAGTAGAAAGTAAGCAAGTGAGAAAATCATACTTTCAAATACTCCGGTACTCAGCTGGAGGTCTTCAGGAGCTATCCAGATAGTGGCGGCTCCCCTCCCTCCATGACTGTCCCTTGTCTGTAACAATCAGTTCGGGGATCAGGAATGCATTCATTTTCCTCCCTCAGCTCAGTGTGACTACGTGGTACCCCCATGCTCCTGGCCTCTCCTCTTAACTCTCCTCAAACACACATCGCAATTTTCCAGCCAGGGCCACCCACCTCCTCTCCTAACAGGTTTGCTTCTCTCCCATAGGCAGACCCTTCTATAGCTCCGTTCTGTTCTTGGGCCCCACGTCATGAAGTCCAGGTGACGTTTATGAGGTTGTAATTGCTGTCTTGTGTTGTAAGCTCAGCTCCCTTTGTTGATTATTCCTACTTTCGAACCATCAGCGTTCTTTTTTATGGTTCTTTTCTGTGTGAAACTGCTGGGCACCTCCCATAATCACAGTGCTTCCCATCCTGTTTTGCCTGTTAATCTTGTACACATTTTTTCTTAGTTCTTTCTCTCTCTCTCCCTTCAGGCGCAGTTTAATATTGGCCTGACACTCTTATATATCGCATTGCTGATGGGAACATAACCTCCTCTATATTCTACACAGGAAAAATCTGGAAATATCTAAGATTTTATGTGCATGTACCCCATCCTCATATGTAGACAAGATTATTGGCTATAGCATTATCTATGATAGCAAAAACTCGGAAACAATGTAAATGTCCACTGAGAGATAACTGGTTCAATAAATGAGGCTATAGTCAGGTAGTGGAACTATCTGTAGACAAAAATATGAATGAGAAAGTTTTTTTAAAACATAATTGGTCAGAAAATAATGCCGACTTCTAAATGTAAAAAGGAAAGGTCTAAAATAGTGTACATTTGTATAAAAATGAGGGAAAGAATGTATATGTATGTGTGTGTATATATATCCACATGAATTTGCTTGTCCACACATAAAATAACTCTGGGGGAGACACAAACCACACTGATAGCACTGGTTTCTGACTGCTGGCTGGAGGACACACACTGAGAAAGACTTTTGTTATATACTCTTTTGAACTTTTGGTGTTTGAACTGTGGGAGTGTATTTCCTATACGAATGAAAACAAATAAAGTAATTAAAATAAAAACAACAACAATACAATTCTCCTCATCAGGCCAGCTCATCGCTGAGCAAACACAATCTTCCCTGCCCTCACTCTGTACCCTAAGTCTGTCATTCTGGTTGTGCCAGTTCAGAAATCAGGGTCCCTCCCTTGCAAGGTCCTAATCACGTGAACAAAGAGGAGAAGACGATGGCACCACCACCTGTGCTGTAAAACAGTCCATCCTCTGCCAGGAACTCCTAAAGATTCTTTACGGTTCTGTCCTGCACACGTATATCCCTCACCAATCAGGCTGACTCCACTTCTTAGCACATCTTGGACCCCTACTCCCCTCTTAACAGGCTGCTCTGGGAACTCTGCACAGAACCCTCTGGGTGCCACAGTGGGATCCAGCAGAGGCCCCCTGGACCCCCAAAGCACAGGGAAGCCAGACTCCCGTGTGCAAGGAAGAGCCACCCAAGCAGCATGCCCTTGACATAACTCTGCTCTGGTGTGCCACAAGGAGCTTTTCGTTCACCTCTGGATCTCTTTCTTTCATGCTTCATCCTCCTTATTCTGGTACAGGCATCCTCAGACTACGGCCCACGGGCCACATGCGGGTGTTTTTGCCCGTTTGTTTTTTTACTTCAAAATAAGATATGTGCAGTGTGCATAGGAATTTGTGCATAGTTTTTTTTAAACTATAGCCCGGTCGGAGGGACAGTGAACTGGCCCCCTGTTTAAAAAGTTTGAGGACCCCTGTTCTGGTATTTACTTTCCAAGTCAATCACTTTCCGAGGGTCCCACTTTTCAGGAGTAAATTTAACCACTTTGGAACCATGCTCACCGACCTCGAAACCTTGCCCACAGCCGGCACTCACAGTCCGCACGATAGTCTGTGCTGTGCACTGATGATGAATCCATTTTGCTCTTGTGTGATGAGGAAAACTTTAAAGCACTGAAAGCTTGTTTTACTTTACAGGCAGCTTTCCTTATAATGTAAATCAGAATAGGTAACATATACATATATGTTTCCATTATGTTATTTTTAAATGTTCACAAGTTTGATAAATGAAAAATTAGAAAAGTCATATCACAGCTGTTGGCTAAAGTTGACGCTCGGCTGTGTGCCTTCATGTCACGGCTGTCAGCTAAAGTCACTGTGTGCGTTCATCTGTGGCTATCAACTATAGTTGACGCTTGTACTGAAGTGGTTAGTTCACCTAATCTTGAGTATCCTGAAATGACCCAAAACCGCTGCAAAAAGGCTGATGTGGAAAGGCAAACAGGAAACCCAGTAATTCACCCACATTTCATTTGCTGCCACTAACTGACTCCTAGGCAAAGCTGGCCATCAGGAAACCTGTGCCTCCAAGGCCTCAGATGTTAGAGAACCACCACCAGTAATCATTTCCACAACTTGGGACAGGCAACAGGACACTGGCTTAGGCTATGATCAGAACCAGAGCAGAAGGAGCAGTCTGCAGGGCTCTTGTCAACAGTACCCTCTTTTTTTTCATTAAAACATAAAACAGAGTTTCAGGATAAAGCCTGAGCTACACTGAGGAAGTTTATTTCAGATCTGGCTACCTCATACCTCAAAATAAAAATTGCCCTGTGCTTTCCAAACCACAAGCGATCAGCCTTTAGGCTAAGCACATTCACTGGAAGAGAACAGCAGCAGTACCGTATGGGAGGCAGCATTCCCTTTACTCATGCAATTACAGCCTCCTGGTGACCTTAGCAAAATGTCCCACTCAAAAATAAACATCTCCACGCACATGACAACAGTGAAGCTTACACAGCACTCCATGGTTTTAAGGCCCTGGTGACCCAGACAGTCACAGATAGAGGCAGAAGTTCTGGGCATACCAGCAGAGATTACGTTCAATTACAAGAACGAGGAATTTGTTTCAGGTCATGTGGCTGCTCACTGATTAACACAGGTTTGAACAGCCTACGGAATTCCTCCACGTGGAAACCTAATATTTGTACTAGCAACTGGGAAGGGCTGTTATCTGGTAGGACTGAGGCCAGAAGCTCAGGGTCTATGTTGCCTCATGCATGAACAGCCTGATGGAAAACCAAAACAAAAAAAACAAAAAACAAAACCCCTCAGATTTAAAACAATCCTTCAGAAAAGGAAGAAAAAGCAAATAGCAAAATGACTGTGTTGGCGATACTTGTCCCAGAAATGGGAGCTCTCCCTGCTTCCTGCCTTCCCTATGAAGGGATTCAGTTGTCCCAGTTTGGTACCAACTCTGCAGGCTTCCACAGGGGGACGGACTCTTACACATACTCCCACACATGGATCCCTACAGTGGCTGGTACAGAACTAGGCATGTGACCCAAATTGGCCCATGAGATGCAATCCCGGGGCTTTTGCCAGAGTCGTTGAGAATCTTTCTCTGCAGGGGTTGCCGGGCTGGCAGGAGATCAATCTAAATCTACTGATGGCCATCTTGAGACTAAGGCTAACATAAAACCAAATGATACAGTTAAGACTGATTTCTAGTGACACCATGAGATAACCTGGATCTAGTGTTATAGGGGACTTTTTAAACCCTGACTTTTCAAATTGTGTGATGTAGTAACTCTTTTTCCTCCCTATTTTTCTTAAGTGGCTTTGAGTTGAGTCTCTGCCACTTTAAGCCTTCTCAAAGCTTATTAAATTCTGTTCCCAAAGCCCCAACGTATGTTCATGCATCTTGAAACATTGATAAAATAACTTTAAAACAGGAGAAAATTCAGTTACTTCTTTCTGAACATTTGAAAAACAGAATCCATTCAACTAATACTTCGCACAGATCAGATTTCAGTCTGTGAGACCTTTGCAGAATATAATGTATCTAAGTCTAAATTTCCATTTCCAGCATGTTTAACAACACAATTACTAAGTGATCAAAAAAAGGTATTATTATAGTATATGTCCAGCACTACGCTAAAGGCTGTACTTAACATTCTCTCATTTGCTCCTCATAACAACTGAAGAAATAGGAAGTATTCACTATCTCCATCTTACAAAAGAAGAAATAGAGATTTGGGAGGTTAAATTACCTGCCCAAGATCACAAGGCTTAGTAGTTGAGCTTGGATTAAAGCCAGGAGGTCTGATTCAACAGCCTGTACTCCTAATCACTATTGGCTACTTTCCTCAGCTTGCTGGAGATATCTCCTTTAGGCAACTCTGCTTCTTACTAATGAGCATGTTCGCAAAAGCAATGCAAGGCGTATGTCTGACACATTGGAAGTGTTTCAATCACCAGTGTTTACTCTATGGCAGGTGTCAGCACACACACAATAATGCTGGCACTTAACAGAAAGGAACGCCATCCACCTTTACATTTTGGAGATGCCTAAATGAAGGAAAGAGATGAAGATAAACCGAGTACTTACAAAATGCCAGGTAACTATGATAGGCACTTAACTTTCATGATTTTATTTGGACTTTACAACACAGATATCCATTTTATGGATAAAGAAATGAAACTTCAGAGAGATTAAGTAGCTAGCTTGTTGACATTCATAGAGCCATGAAGCAGTTAGGCCGGTAAATGAGCAAGGTGTTTCTAAACCTAACCCATATCTTCTTCCTGCCCAGCTCACATTGCCAGGCATGAATATAAGGGTCTGAAGGTAGAGGCACAGGAAGATGGTTACCTATGGTTAAAACAGACTGCCCTCTCTCAAATGAGCCCTGAGCCTAAAATACTCTAAATGTTTATTCAAAAAGGAGTCTGGCACGCTCTAGCCAATGGCATATGAAGCCTGAGAAACAAAAAACCGAATCAGGAAACATTCTCTAAGAGAAGGCCTGCATGTAGGCTCACCCACATGACCCATCAGGAGAAGAGAAACACAATCTGAGGGTTCCATCTTGGTCAGTGAAACACACGTCAAAACTGTCTCCAGACTCCGTGGACATAGTGACAACAGCCTGTCAGGGGCTGACTTCATCCCAGTATGTCATCCTTACTTTGGTTCACATGAAAGACATCTTGTGTCCCTCCACATTTTGCCCGATCCTTCCCCATGACCGCTTCCCTTTCCACCCTTGTCAGCAGTATGAGGGAAGATAAAGCCTTAGAGCCAAAACTAGGTGGTTTGGGCACTGCTGAAATGTGCAGCCACAGCAAAACTTGATAACGTGGTATTAACGGATCATTGCGTCTCTAGTGTATAGATATTTCTGGCCCCCAGTGGCTGCCAGCCTTGGGGTTGACCAGATGACCTCAGGCCACATCAGGACAGCCGCTCCAGGTCTGAGCTTAGGACAGCACAGGTCCCCTCAGAATTTGGTGCACCACACACCCACCTCTGCTTTTCTCTGCTTCTCCTCCTGCTCTCTCTGCTCCTTCTCCATGCCGACCAGCTTGAGCTTCAGCTCAGACACTTCGGTCATCAGATCGAGCTTCTGGGTCTCAAGAGATGTGCGACTTAGCAGCTCCTGCAAGCAAAAACAGACCTCAAAATCAGAAACCACTATGGCAACAAGGGCAGCTCTAGCTTTATCTAGCACATAAGGTGACATTCTAAGTTGTGTGTTGGACGACACAGAGCTGAGACTGCTGCATGTGAGCCACAGGCCATCAGGGATGGAGGTGGGCTGACATGGGGGCCACTTGTGGATAGCACAGCAACTGCCACCACCCACAGTGCTCTGAAAGACAATGCGAGCTACATCTCTCAAAACACACGTTTTCCCATAGAAACATCATTCATTATTTCCAACTGCATTTCCAAAATGCATGGGTACTCTCAATAGAACCAAATTTCTCCATCTTTCTAAAGGCAAAGCAGCAACAAATGAAAACACTTTTGTTAACAATATATTTTTCAAAATCAAAACTTTTAGATCACCTCCTGGGCTCAGTCAATGCTCAGCCCAGTCTTCAACACATCTCAATGTAAGACCTCACTGCATTAAACCTAGATGTGAGTTAGAACACAAAGTAGATGCTCAAAGAATATTTATTGAGTGATTATAATACAGGGATCATATTATATGAAATGGATCTTTCCTGGGCTGTACCAAAATTACAATTTGGCCACTATGGAATGTGAAAAAAAGAAGACTATTTTTTCCTGATTATGTGGGGACAGTCTGGGAGGTTATTATTACTAGTCCTGCCATAACCAGAACAGTGGCAAACTACCACCAGATACTTCAGGTCCTCGACAGACAGCAAACCTGTCATTAATAAATACATTTAACAAGCATAAACAAAGTAAAACAACAACAACAACAAAAATAAAGGAGACAGGCAAGACACCCATTTAGGACTACTACAAATTATAAAGGACCTCAAAAACCAAGAGTATTTCTCAAAGCCCAACGAAACATATTTTTCTACTGGCATATAGCAATGTCCCATGAAGTCCTAAATCCTGGCAATATGGTAGACACTGGCTATACAAGTCCTAGCAAGAAGAATATCACAGCAACCAGTAGAGCAACAGGCCAACTAACCACAGGAAAAAGACACATCCTGCCACAGTCTGAACATTCTGTGTCAGCTTGGGCAGCCCAACCCCAGCACAAGTGTGGCAATCTCAACATTCTGAGAGCTCAGAGCTCAAATGCTCTGAGTTCACAGATTTGGAACTGTCCTCAGATCATGAATAAAATCATATACAACAGAGATTTTGACTTGGAATACGTGATTCCCTAGGCCAAAGACCCCCAGTCCCCTGGGGAAGGTAGGCTACAAACTGTCTGTCTGCTAACCTGCAGACAGGATAGCAGATGGGTATCTAGAAGCCCAACAGTTCAGCACGATGAGCTCCCTGAGCACTGGGCCAAGGAGGCCAGCTTTCCCTGGGCCAGCCAGACTTGAAGCTGGCTCACAGGGCAGAGGCAGCAGCACTGCAGGCTACTTAGTCACAGGGTAAGCCAGTGAGTGTGTCTAATATAATGGGGGGACTTTGATTAGTTGAGTGCTTTTACATATGTCCTCTTAATAACCCCCCCACCCCCAGTGAGCTGGCAATAAATATTATTATCCTGATTTTACAGAGGAGGAAACAAGCCCAGAGAGGGTAAATAAATTTTTTTGGACCAAAGACACATGCCAACTGGCAGCAGAGTTAGTTTTCAAAGCAAGATCTGACTCCAGAACTCATTTCTGTCTAATGTAGCATGCTGTTTCCGAAACAGAGAAAGAAGTCCAAGAATTTTAAGAGATATAAAAAAAAAATGCTGAAAAAAAGCAACCAATGAATATTCAGGGAGCCCAAGAAATGTCCACTCAAACTGACAAGATTTCACTGAGCACATATGATGTACCAGGGACTGGTGCTGCACAGGCTACAAAGGGCCTTAAGCAGCTCTTTGCTGGCTGTGAGGGCACACAACGATGATGAGTTCTCTGGCTCTTGAGTTGGTGACTATCGTAAAATGTAATCCTCCCCCATACCACCTACTCTCTCCCACCTCCTCTTTCCTTTCCTTACTTCTCTTCCCCCCTCCACCTTCATTCTCTCTTTCAACCCTTCCACCTATCTGCCTTGTTCCAAAAATGATTTCAGGCAGTTTTCAAAATAGGTATTTCAAGTTAAAAAATACATCATAAAAACTAAAGCAAGTGGGAAAAGAAGTTGAAACCAGAGATATAGTCACTAGAAGACCCATACCATAAAGTTCTATAAACAGCTAGAGATAGACTATAATGTATGTGTGAGCTTCACCTTGCTAATGCAAAGTTGAAAAGAACGAGCACATACATCGAGGTCGCTAAGATAATATCAATTTCTCTGGAGTACTGAGATCTGAGAAAAATAATTCCTCCATGAGCCTTAATTTATTTATTCGAAAAATATGTTTTTAAATACCTACCAGATGCCAATGCCTAGGGATATAATAGTTAAAAACACAGTCCCTGTTGAGTACTTGAGCATCTGAAGGTGATAAACATGCAGTTTTGTCTATTGATCAGCATTCAAGATTCTGCTTCGATGGGATTCAAGAAAGTATCATAATAGACCTCTTTTGAAAGCTAAGAGTCTACTCTACTTCCATCTTGCCAAAATCCCTCTAGCTGTTTTAACTACCAGGTTGTAATTAGTCATACAAATGTTCCAGCTGATGAGGATAATATTTTAATTGGTTCCAATAGCCATTCCAATTTGTGATGCCAGTGTTTGAATTGGCCACACTAACATTCCAAGCGGACATTCACACTTGGACACACTAAAGTTTTAATTAGAAACCTGAGGTTGCTTAACTTCGTATAATTTGCCAATAATAAAACTTTTACATACTGTCTTCTAGCTTGTATCTGTTAGCATATGCTTATACCTTCCATGATCATCTCCCCCTTGTCCTTCTCATTAATAATTACTGTTTTAGTCCCTGAACTAAAAATCAGCCTTTACCAAACTTATCCCAATCCATCTCTACCTCCCCATCTCTAGACCCAGCCAAGGCCCAACCACTATTATGTACTGTAATCTCTAAAATGCGTGTCTTATTAGGAGTTAACTACCCTACATCCTCAATAGCTCCATCTACTTCCAACAAAAACTGAATCTTGGCTTTTGCACAATATGACACATTCTTCCCAGTCACCTCAAGTGGAGACCACTTTTCTTTCACCAACCCAACTTACAGAGAACACCTTTCTCCCTGTTTCAGAACTGCTTCCGGATTATGATTTGTCCTCATTGATCATCCATGTCTACCCTCCTATTCTAAGACAGCACTATTTAGGATATCACATTCTCCCCACATACACAGAACCAATACAGCCTCCCATTTCCCTTGAGGCTTTCATCTTTTGATCAACAGCTTTCTACCTACTTTAGGTGCATTCCGTCTCCTCAGTAGCTTCAACATCCTTGTTAATGACTCTTGCGCTCTGTATGCAGTCTGGCTTCAACTCTAATAAGCTGTGCTTCCACTTCGTTTCAGGTTCTCCGCAGCATGGCCACAACTTGGCCCTCACCTTTATCCAGAACGTGTTTGCTTTCCTTCCAAAATCTTCAGCTCTGAAATTCTCTCCTCTGACCACAATCTTCTGACCTTTCATCTGTCCCACTTGCTCACTCAACCTCTAATTTCTTCTGTGGCTAATAGTTACTTAATAACTCCTTATTTTCCTGGTTTATCAACTTCATTTAAGCAGTATTTGTTTCCTTATCCCCTCTATATCTTGAGGTTAACCATTTCAATTGTACTCATATCTATACCAGAAAATCCTTCATCCAAACTCATCCCTGCCCCCAGACCTAATGTGCATGTGTTTATCAGAGCCCTTGCCCACACCAAAGCTCATACTCTTTTGTCTGTGTTTTCAGTCTCCATGAGAGTGAAAACAGCCTGAGAATTGCTAGTAAAAGTCACTGAATGATGCCAACTGGTTGCATTACAAATCTGCATTATCTAATCACAGCTGATCTTCCAATAGTGCATGGCCAAACTTGTATTCACCTCTGGCTGATTCCATCTAGAGATTGTTTCAAGTCTTTTCTGTTCTCCTCATGCCCTAAACTCCCACCCTGTCCTTCTGATCTCCTCAAATAACCTCTCCTCATATTTACTGAAAGGATTAAAAAAAATCATCTGATAACTCATTAAACTCACGTTCTTTCTTTTTCAAAGTTTCCCAGAAGCATCTCATTTGTATCTCTTAAATCTCTGTCTTAAAGAAAGCAAGCCTTCAGAGCTCCTTTCCAAGGCTAATCTGCCACAATTGTATACTGCCATCTTCTCTGTCAGCTTCTTTCACCTTTAAGAACGGTACCCTAGCCCAGTAAATTTCCAGGTTGCACATAAAAGTATGCTTCAAAGGATAAAATGCTTTCAGAATTCATTCCTGAATTGCCCCATTTGACTGACCTTCTTGTTTCTGGCCATTTCTCAGTCTCCAGACTCTTCACACACCCTCACACAACTTGATGAATCTTAAGGTTACTTCCTGGTTAGCTGGAAGCCTTTGGCTTTGTTCTCCGAGTTCTGGTCCTATTTCTCCCTCTAGCTGGTAACTCAGAATGACTCCCACTCACATGGTCCTAAACTCTCCCTCACCTCTGCACTGCCTTTGAGGAGGTTCCCACCAAGCTCTGTGTTTACCCATCAATCACCCACTCCGACAGGCATTTAATCTCCCCCTCACCATCAGCTTCCATTCCTCAGGCTATAAACACGATCAAATTTCTGACATTCTAAAGAAACTTCCTTTTTGACCCTGCCTTCCCCTCAATCTACCACTATCAACTCCCATGTCCTCTTGCTGGCCAACTGTACGCACTGTGTGCGTGTGTGTATATGTGTGGTGTGTGTGTGTGTGTGTGTGTGTGTGTGTGTAAGTGCTGTCTCTCTCTGTCCCTTCTGTCCCCCTTCTTCATAGCCAGGCTCTTGAGATAATAACCTACCCCTGGCTGCCTCATCTTCCCGTCACACCTCAACAAGCTTTCTGCTTGTCTGCAAACTGGCTTCTGCCTTCACCA